ACTCTTGCACCCAGTGTGCTCCCACTACAGATTTGGAAAGTGGTGTACACATGACATTAGCAACAGTCTGTGTCTATCCTGCATCTGTCCTGTTGTTTCTTATGAAGTACTTTGCATTGGTGCATTTCCCTTGCAAACCAGCTTCAATTCAAAATGAGAAAAAGAATGAAGTAGGTGAATTTTATGTCAGCAATATATGCACACAGCTACAGGCTTTTTTTTTATAATAAGGGAAGTGACAGGAACATGCACTAAAAGGTTTGGGGGAAAGCTTGTTCGCCACATCATATAACCTCCCCACAAACAAAGAATAAATAATGCTCATTATGTAGCCAACATTGTTTAATCTCCCTGCAAACCTTGCACAAACAAATCAGGATGATTCTAAATAGGTCGTCTGCAAGCAATCTGGGTGGAGTGAAACAGAATAGCAGATGGTTGGCTTGGCTTATAATGCATAGGAGGCAAGGATGAGAGGATTCAAAGGGGGCCTATGGGTGAAAGAAGGGGCCAGTGCCAAATGAATAAGGTGTGTGTTAAGAAACAATTTGTACTGGTAACTGAAGTTGGGGTGGTTTAGGCTCAGTTCCTGTATTTGAGCAAGTTGACTGCTTGTGGAGGCAGTTCTGCTTGATAGACCATTAGTGTGGTGGCATATTGGTGATTCGGATGACAGCACCACTACCCATTTACCGTATTTTTCTGCGTATAAGACAATGCTTTTTGCTAAAAAAAAAAAAGGCAAGAATTGGGTGTCGTCTTATACACAGATAGTGAATGCAGAGGGGGACGTGCGATTAATAGCAGCAAGCAGGAGATTGGCAGCGGCGATTGGGTGGGTGATTGGTGGCTGCGGCAAGGCCTGTCTGCGATTGGCTGTGGCTGTGGCAATTGGTGGCTGTGGCAATTGGTGGCGATTGGTGGCTGTGGCAAGTGGGCGGGTGGGTTGTTGGTGGCGGCAAGCAGGCAGACAATTGGCGGCTGTGGCGAGATGTGCGATTGGCAGTGACTGTGGCAAGCGATCAGCAGTGGTGGGCAGGCGGGTGAGCGATTGGCGGAAGCTAAACAACTTAATTTCTTAATTTTGGGTTAAAAAAAAAAAGGGTCGTCTTATACATGGGGCGTCTTATACACAGAAAAATATGGTATTCACCTGAGTGCTCTTAAAATAGCATCCGCTATTGAAATAAATATTGCCAGAAGTTGAAGAGTGGTGTTACGACTGTTACATGGGTTGCATACACATCATACATTTAGAATGTAAATCCCCCACCCTAAGAGTCCTGGGAACTGTAATTTACCCTCTGACAGAGCTATAGCTCTTAGCACTCTTAATAAACCACAGTTCCCAGGATTCTTTGGGGAAAGTCATATGCTTTGAATGTGCTTCAGATGTGCAGTGTGTATGAAGCCAAAAAGACTTGCTAGCAGGACACTTTGTTGAATGGGAGGTTGGGGTTCTTTGGTCAACCATCTCCTTCTCAAAGGAGTCATCCAGAAAAACCAGGGTGCCACAATCATTGTAATGACATTTACAATGAAAGTTTGAAGGAGGTACACAAAGCCTGAGAAACTGGTGTGTGTGAGAAGAGTAATTGCTATGTAGATTTGAAAAAAAGGGGGAGTAGAGGGATTTATGGCTGTGTACATATTACTGTTTACCCCAGCTCCACAGTGCTCCCTCTGCTGTTGTTTGAATCTATGCACACGTGACATTAGCCACAATCCATATCTATTTTGTATTGTCTCAAGAAATATCATACCCTCCAAGATTTCTGCGATGAAAATAGGGACGTCCCATTCCATAATGATAATTTTACTATTTATACCCCCACAACATCTTACTAGGTTGCCCCAGCCACTCTGGGCAGCTTCAAACATCTATTTAAAAAAGCCACACACAATAAAACATTAAACATTATTTTTTAAAAAGCTTCCCTATACAGGATTGCCTTCAGACGAGACAGGGGTTGGATAACTCCATACCCTCCAACCTTTCTCCAATTAAAATAGGGACATCCTAAAAAAAAGTGGGACATTCCAGGATCAAATCAGAAACCTGGGTGGCTTCTCTAAATCAGGGACATCCTTGGAAAATAGGGACACTTGGAGAGTCTGAAATATTGCTGTTTGATCTGTTTCCCCTCAAAGCAGCTTCCATCCAGTTTCAGTCCACATTCACTTTGTGGTTAAAAACTAAGGTGTGTACATTAGAGATAGCCATGGCCTGTGGAAACCAAACAGGTAATGCACCATCTGGGGTGTGTGTAGCAACATGCAAATGTGACTTGAAGCTCAGCAGAGGGAGAAATGACTTTTCTGAGTTCTAAGCCACTAAAATGCACGTAGCCAATGCTGCATGTGGAAATTGGCAAAGATATGAGATGACCCAAACATGGGATGAATTCTTTTTTACAGATGGGGTGGGGAGAATAACGTGAAATGTTCACCGAAGGAGGGTTTCTGTATTAGGATAATTTGTTCGGGTTCTGGAAGAGTTAGTGTAACAATAGGAACCAGAGATATCCTCATGTTCTTATTCAGATGGATGACTGATTATCTCATAATCCCTTATCTTGCTGACTGTGGCTGATGTGAGTTGGAGTCCAACAACATCTGGAGGGCCAGAGGTTCCCAACTCCTGTGCTAAAGGGTTGGAGAACGATTAAGTTAGGTGTGGGGGACAGCAGGCATATCTAAGGTTGCTCCTTCCTGATTTGTGAAGGGGGAAACCCCTGAGAGTGTGGCAAAGTGTTCATTCCCAAGCCCCCTTTCCGAAGTAAAGTGGGTTATGGGATACAGGGGGAAGGATAAGGAAACTGAAAGTTAAGGCTAAAGTATATGTTACAGAAGTGCTTTCACACTTCTAATGGGGGACTGAATTAGACTTTAGTACAGAGCTTTCCAAACAGTGTGTCGCGACATGTTAATGTGTCAGCTGCAGTGTGTAGGTTTGTAATGCGAACCCTCTGCACACTTCTCACAGGGCTGGAAAGGGGTTAGTTTAACCTCCAGTTTGCTAGTAAAACTGAATTAGTGTGTCGTGAAATGATGCATGTCTAAAAAGTGTGTCACCAACATGAAAACTTTGAAAAGTTCTGCCTTAGTGTTAAACCTTTTACCCTTGCACTATTTTCTCCATGAACCCTTCACCCACACCTGAAGCACATAGGTTAGTAAAAACATTTTTGCCGTGTGTGTGTGTGTGTGTGTGTGTCTGTAATTAATCTAGTGAAGAGTGAGCTCCAGTTAGGATGTAGTAGGAAATTTTCATTGCAAAAATGGTGCAAAGGTAATAGATTAGCCCCTATTTGCCGTTTCACCAATATTTGCAAAAACTTTATAGAGATGGAGATGTCCTTGTTGTAATTTATGGCTTATGCAGAAGCATAATTTCTAGTTCTGAAAAAAAGCCCAAGAAACTTGACACTTGAGAATGAAGATTCTGAATTGACAATCTGCTTCCTTTCTTACTGTTCTTTTCAGAAGCAGAGTCTGTACTACTACCCACCCTTTCTGCTATTTGTTTATTGGTTTTGTTTTTATGCTTTTTATTTTTGATAGCTTAATGATATTTTAAATTTTATTTACAATTATAAATTGTAACACATTAGAGGGTTTTTTATACTCAGGCAACAACATAAACCAGGAAGAGAATTGGGAGTAGAGCTGTAAGATTTAAAGGAAAGTCTGAGGTGTGTGCCCATGTCCCCAGTTTGTTATTAATAATGGTACCATGTGTAATGTTTCAACAGAGTAACTAGGCAGTCCCTAATGACAGGAATTTACAAGCTAAAATTTGCCACGGGAGGCAATTCATGGAAACAAGAAAAAATACAAGAAAAATGTGTTCCATTGTTCATTTACATTAGGATGAGGAATATGTGTTGCAGTTTGCATGTAACCGTGGCTGAGTGTGAACAAGTATGCAGATAATGCAAAAATTGCAGCCAGCTGTTCTGTTGCCACTGTATTAGCCAAAGCCAAGCCATGGTTTGGCTTAACATTACAGTACATCTGAACCTAGGCTTGTGGTTTCTTTCTCCAAGCAAACCATGAGCTTGTTCAGTGCTTGTTCTTGGCTTACTGCATATGGTTTGTTTAGGGGAGACAAACCACAATCCCAGATTTGGACAGGAAACCAAGCCACTGCTTAGCATTGGGTAGTGCAGCAGTAGCAAGACCAGGAGATGAGCAAAGTGACAACAGTCTTTGAGCACCTGCATGCCTACTCATTCATGCTCAGCCATGGTTTGTCTTGGCATTATGCACAAACCATTTTGTTTGATCACAGTTCCCATCATCCTTGACCACTGGCCATGCTGGCTAGGTCTGCTGAGAGCTGGAAACTTGGCCAGAGTTATATGTTCCAGATGAAGAATAAGGGTGTGTGTGCTGTTTCAAGGCTTCATGGAAAATGTCACTTTTAAGGAAAGCTGTGCAAGGAGAGGGGGGCAAGGGTATCCTCGCTCAAGTGTTTGGGGTGGGAATTCCAGCTTACAGGGAGCAGCGAGGGAGAGGAGGGAAAGAGGGCGGAAGAAGAGCCACAACATTTTGCGGTAGTTGCGCTGTTGTGCCTTGCAATGAAAAACCACTTTAGATAATTGCAGAGGGATGGAAGGTGCAATAACTGGCATAGACTCTTGTGTGTCTGTGAGAGCATGGGCGTAGCCAGGATTTCTGTTAAAGGGGGGAGCAAAAAGTTGTTGAGCTTTTTTTGGGGGGGAGATCATGGATAATAATCCCTCCCTCCTGAAAGGACATTACCGGGGCAGGCTTCTACCTCACCGAATTAATGCTTTTCAATTCATTTTTGAGGATTTAGGGGGAGAGTGGAGGACAGTAAACAAGGGTCGCCTCGCCTCTGGACCAGTGGGCTAAACTGCATGCTCATAGTGCAGGGGTTGCTCTGGTCTAAGGCGACTTATAGTTGTTGCTTTTGGCGCGCTTTTGAGGGAGCTCAGAGAAGGAGCGCCCCGCGTCTGTGGAGAACCGTGTGCATGTGTGACGGTGACACGCGCCTATGGCGGGAGAGACGAGGAGGCGGCGGCCGAGAGGCGACCCCGGGCTCTTCTTCTGTACATAACGCGGTGGGAGGGGGTGGGGAAGGCCGAGGGGCGTTTCGCTTGGCAGCTCCGCGGCGCCTGCCCCCGCTTTCGGGCGGGAAGGAAGGCGGGTCTGGCGAGCAGCGAGCGAGGGACGGAGCGCAGGAGGCGGGCTCCGCCGAGGCAGGAAGGGCTGTGGCTGGAGCTGGGGCTGTGACGGGGCTGGCAGGGCTGTGCGGGGCCGAGCGAAGGCCCGGAGTCGACGCACGGAAAGGGAGGAAGGAGACGAGGGGACTTTGCGCGCACAGCAGCAGCGAGCCTGGGAAGCCGAGCCGGGCTGGGCCGCGGCGGCCCAGGTAAGGAACTGAGGGAGAGGGGCCACCGGGGCAGGAAGGAAGCGTGTGCGAAACACACGCGCACGCCGCCCGTTTCACACGTTCACTCCCCCCCTCTTTACGCGGGTGGTGGGGAGAGAGGTGACGTGTGACGGGTGTTCCTTTTTTGGAGTTAAAAGCTCCTGGGAACCGCCGTTTTGTACAGTTCCACACAAACATTATGGGTTGTTTAGATTAGGCAGCCTTGCATCGGGAAGTTTTTTTTAATTCTCGGCATTTCGTTGTGCTTTTTATACGTGCTGGAAGCCGCCCAGAGTGGCTGGCGGGGTATGAATAATAAAAATTATTATTATTATTATTATTATTATTATTATTATTATTATATTGTGTTTGTCTTTAAGCAGGGACATGCAAAGCGTGTCACGTGTACCCCGTGGAACTGCGAATAAACGCGCGCGCCGTGAACCCGTGTCCCCGGCCGTGTTTGTGCGCGCGCTGGGTGGCGTCCGTTCAGATGCGCGTGTTGTTGCAATGTGGGATGGCACATGGGTCCAACACCCCAGCCTCTCCTTGTGGGGTAAATACATTTCGGTAAATAAATACTTGCGGCCGTGTGACCCCCACCCCCACCCCCTCCTCTCCCCGCGGCAGTGGGTGGGTGTGTTTGTGTTGAAAAGAAGATAAGGACTGCATGTATTTTGCTACCAGCGGCTGTTAAGAAATGGCAGTAAGGGCAAGAATAGTATTAAAAAGTTATGCGTGCATCAGATCCTGCATATATGAGTGGCAGCTTGAGGAGACAGAGAGGTGCAGGGAATGCCTTTCCATTGCTTCTGTGCAAGGTAGATTTCCTGTGTTTCATTGCTATATAAGAGGTGCTAGGAACTTGAACCCGAGTGAAAATTGTACCGCCTGCCCTGCAGGTCCTCCTTCCTTATCCTTTCAGAGCGACAGCAAAGCACTCTGCGTATGCTCAGAAGTATTATCTTGCTCACAACTGCCATGAAAATAGGTTTCCAGGCTAAGCTCCGATTCAAAATAAAATCCTGGGTATATTGGTTTGCCTTTTTAAAAAAAACAAAAAAAAACCAACCCTATATGGCAACTAGCCTGCCTTTAACACAGGCACTTCACATGGATGACCAGGACTACCCAGGGCTGTGTTAGTTTAAGTGGTCTATTTTGCTTTTTTGCTTTCCCTGCTGAGCTGTAAACAGCATGTGCTGGAGGTGGGGGGGAGTGTTTACTTTCTAGCAGAAGAAGCAATAAATCTGCCATGCAGTTTCCCCTCCCTGCCGCTTCCCGAACGTTGCTGCACACAGTTTCAAAGCAATGCCATTGGTGCCTGGGCTATCTGCTACCATGTATCGCTCCATGTTTGCCACAGGTTGTTGATTCTGATAGCATTGCTTTCTGGAGAAAATGTGGGGGTTGGGGGTCTGAGAGTCAAGGTCCTAATTCAAGAAGCCCAAATTCCCTCTGTAGCAGAGCTGTTTTTTCTGGTGGAATGGTTGTCATGGTGCACGTAGACGTTTTCTGTGCCATAATCATGAGATGACTCCACTGGTGAATCAAATGCTTAAACCATGTGCATCATATTGAACCGCTCGCAACTTTCCTGACGAAACTAGCTGAACAGAAATTTTCTCTGAAATGCATAACTTTCTCAATGTCCTTACAAATTTTTTTTTCTATTGGACAACTTCTGTATGTGAGTGTTGAGAGCACTGCACCACATTTCACCCGCTGTAATAATATATATTGAATTTATTTAATTTAGAGCATTTGTACTCTGCTAAAAAGGCTCCCAGAGTGGCTTACATGCAAACAAAACAAGTTTAACAATCTGAAAAACACATACAACATGTAAGAGATTTTCTCAGCCATGTATCTAATACTTATTTACTTAAATCATAGAATCATAGAATCATAGAGTTGGAAGAGACCACAAGGGCCATCGAGTCCAACCCCCTGCCAAGCAGGAACACCATCAGAGCACTCCTGACATATGGTTGTCAAGCCTCTGCTTAAAGACCTCCAAAGAAGGAGACTCCACCACACTCCTTGGCAGCAAATTCCACTGTCGAACAGCTCTTACTGTCAGGAAGTTCTTCCTAATGTTTACAAAACTCAAACTTATAAATTACAACACATTGAAATAAATGTCAGTTTAGAAGGACAAATAAAAATAACTTTGCCTGTTGCAGAAAACATAATCATTTTGGGGAGAGAATCCTATGATAAATGAGGCACCACAATTGAAAAGGGTGTCTGCCACTTATCTCAGATGGTGGAGATGCCTGGTGGTGAGAGTCTCCAAAGGTCACCTCAATACATGGACAGGTTGAACCAGGGACAAGCATTACTTCAGGCACCTAGGTCCCAAAATATGCAAGGATGTAAAACAGTTTTGCATTTGAGCCATAAAGGACCCTGACCATTAGGTCCTGTTGTGACCGACTCTGGGGTTGCAGCGCTCATCTCGCTTTATTGGCCGAGGGAGCCGGCATACAGCTTCCGGGTCATGTGGCCAGCATGACTAAGCCACTTCTGGCGAACCAGAGCAGTGCACAGAAACGCCGTTTACCTTCCCGCCAGAGCAGTAACCCGTCGCAGGGATCCAAACCGCCAACCTTCTGATCGGCAAGTCCTAGGCTCTGTGGTTTAACCCACAGCGCTAGGCAACCAGAAATTCTATGCAGGTGAGTAAGGGAGCTAGTGGACGAGGGACGAATTGCTCCATCTCACTTTTGATACCCTGCTTGGTTTCTTTGCCAGCTGTGAAAGAAGGGAAGTCCTTTTCTATGAGATCAGCATGGAAATACAGAGGGCTGGTGAAGAAGGGATGGATCATTTTGACCATCCAGCTGTCTATTTCATTGAAGTCTTCATTATTATTAATATGTTAAGAAGCTAAAAGCCTGCTTTTCCATGGAGTCTAGGACTTCCCGTCTTCCATGACCAGCATGGAAATGCAACATGCTAGTCTTTATTGCAGGCTAGTAAAAGTTTGCTGGCTAGTAATTTTTGTTGGGTTATTTCCAAGACTACACTGGTTAGCAGTTAGTTTCCATGCTCAATTCTAATCACTGTTTTTGACCTTTTTATGCTTCTGAGGATCTCAGTACCTCAAGGACTGTCTCTTCTCACATGAACCAACCCAGACCCTGTGTTCAGCATCTGAGGCTCTTCTCTGTGTGCCTCCTGGTGACATGAGAATGGGCCTTTTCAGTTGTGGCTCTTCTAGAATGCTTTCCCCAGGGAGGCTTAGCACCATCACTATCTAGTTTAGATGCCTGGCAAAAAAACTTAAATTTACAAAACTGAGTTAAGGGAAATCACCAGCACCTTGAATTACACTTGGAAGCAGACTGCAGCTAAGGACTGGAATAATATATTCATCTGTAATTAGCAATCTAGTAACTATTCTGAAACAACAGCAGTTTCTGAACAGCTTTTAATGGCAGGCAGTCCTGTGTGCAGTTAATTGCACTAGCCAATCTATTCAGCAGAGTATAACTAATACAGTACAGCTAAAATAATTGTGGCCAGACTACAAGAACTAATTTATTGGGTTAATTCTGTTGCGTGTGTTTGGTGTTAAAATGGTTATTATGTATTTCTATGGTACTTCTCTGTGAATAAGTTGTATTTAACTTTGCAGCAGCCTCTTGAGACATGTTTAGGCTGTAAGACAGCGGTAGGCAACCTAAGGCCTGTGGGCCGGATGCGGCCCAATCACCTTCTCAATCTGGCCTGCAGACGGTCTGGGAATCAGTGTGTTTTTACATGAGTAGAATGTGTGCTTTTATTTAAAATGCATCTCTGGGTTATTTGCGGGACATAGGAATTCGTTCATTTCCCCCCCCCCCCATATAGTCCAGCCCACCACATGGTCTGAGGGACGGTGGACAGCTGAAAAAGGTTGCTGACCCCTGCTGTAAGAAAATGACACTGATGTTCTGTGGATTGGTTCAGCTCTTGATAGATTCGCAGTAAGGAATGGATTTTGCCTCAGGCCAGATTGCATGGTGACCTTGGAAGTTTCCTCTGTTGTATTCGACTTGACTGCCTCTTGCGAATCACCTTCACCTATTAACTCTCTGTAAGCTACTACTTAGGGACGTGGGTAGTGCTGTGGGTTAAACCACAGAGCCTAGGACTTGCCGATCAGAAGGTCGGCAGTTCGAATCCCTGCGAAGGGGCGAGCTCCTGTTGCTCTGTCCCAGCTCCTGCCAACCTAGCAGTTTGAAAGCACATCAAAGTGCAAGTAGATAAATAGGTACCGCTCTGGCGGGAAGGTAAACGGCGTTTCCGTGTGCTGCTCTGGTTCACCAGAAGTGGCTTAGTCATGCTGGCCACATGACCCAGAAGCTGTCTGCGGACAAACGCCGGCTCCCTTGGCCAATAAAGAGAGATGAGCGCCGCAATCCAGAGTCGGTCACGACTGGACCTCAGGGGTCCCTTTACCTTTAAGCTGCTACTGCAGTGTACCTTCACAGAATGTTCCTTCCTACATTGAGAAGCAGTGTGGAGTCAAGGCTAGAGCAGTTGGGCTTTGATGTCGAAGCCCAGTTCATGTCTATACTCAGCTGTGAGCCTCCCATCCCAAACAACTGATTAGCGCTCTATCTGGTTATCGTACTGGGATGACGCACACTAGCATAGCTGAAATGTGGCAACAATCTCTCAAACTAACCTACTGGACAGGATTGTTGTAATGATAAGGTGAGGTATATCTACCCATGTACACCCCTTTTGAGTTCACTTGAGGGAGGGACAAGATGCAAATATGACTAATCATGTATAGGTTATAGATATGCATAGATAATGTGTGGGTATGATAAAAATAAAAAACTATCAATAGTTTGATGGGTACGTTGTCTACTCTTTGCTGCATCTTGCATGACAAACAAACAGAAGCAGGAGTGGGTGATGACATTGGGGATTTGTTTTTGTCTCTGCAGCTCTTATTGTTTATTGATATAGAACAAGAGATTTAAATTTACAGAGGGCCAATACTTGCTTCATATCATAGATACTAGGACAGTCTCATCTGGGGTACCTGGAATTCTATCCCAAGTTACAGTCCAATTGCATTATCTTATAAAGCAGAGCACACGTGGATGAATTGTGCTCCCCCCCCCCCCAATATGGGCACTTTGTCCTTTCTGTCATAGTGGTGGGCAGTTTGCTAGTAAACCATGAATGCTTCATGGCAGAACGAGAGTTTTGCACATGAATCCTAAATGTTCCACTGCACTATACTGACAATTCTTAGGACACATTTCTCTCTAGGGCAGATATCAAGCTCTAAAGTAGAGGGGCTTTTATACCAGCTGGCCGCTGAGTTGATCCCACCTGTTGTTAAATGGGCAGTTTACAGCTTTTGTTGCTAATTCATTATGAAGTGCAATTGATACGGATTTCGCATAGTTGCTTTCGGGTTGAGATTTTGCTGCATGGCAGGCTCAAATTCAACTGATACAGCTTTTGCTATCTCTCTATATATGTGGATAATCAATCTCCCTACCCCACCCCACCCCACCCCACCCCATATTGCTATCTTAGCATTTAAAAGAGGGCATCCCTTTGTTTATTTCCCCAGGACAGTGGGGCTGTGGAGCAATTACTCTTTTATCTATTGGGCTTGTGTGTTTTGAAATTATGTTGTTGTTCAATACAGTGAAGCAAAGGGCAATAGAAATAGCCCAGTTTACACCATGAGAATACTTGGCTGCCTGTGTGGGATAAGCACTTCCTTCAGAACAGGTATCTAGGATGAATAAACTGTAGTTCTTGACCAGAGTGCAGAATTGTAGGGGGGAAATAGAACATTAGACACCCTGGACATTTGCCTACTGCCTGCACTGTGTGGTTTGATTTGTTTGCACAAGACGTATGGAGATGTTTGTTCCTCAGGTTCCTTTTTCAGTGCTAACACATATTCTCGGCTTGAAGCCTTGTAATGGGCTGTTACCTCTACTGCATGGTTGATCTTCTAAATAGCTGGTAGGAGAATAACTTGCTGATGGATGAGCATATGACTTCCAGTCCCTTCCCATTTAATGATTTCACAGTTCTAGCATAGAAATGACGTGGGGCTGATACAGTTTTCATGGCTGCTATTGCTTCATTTATATGCCACTTTTCTTAAAGCAGCACACAGTGTTAGTTATACAGGGCCATCTTTTCATTATGTTAATAGTATGATTTTTGAAGCCCCCCTAAAGTGTTAGGTAGCTATAACTTGGCCTCATGAAAAAGTCTAGCAGGGTTAGCTTGCCCTGACTTTTGCAGAGAGAAAGGGAACTCAGCTTGCAATGGGAAGTATTCACAAGGCCAAACTCCATCTGCCTCCTGCCTACAGGGGCTCTGGGAAATTTGCCATGCTGTATTTGTGTGTGTGTGTAGTAATAATCAAGGAGCTATAGGCATGCTTAATAAATCTAGAGCTAAGTTTTATTTAGAGTACACCATGTGCCTACAAGAGTCCACATATTTTTATTTTGTAGTAATTTTGTTTCCTATCTTTTGCAGTGCTTTTCAAGAGCTCCAGTTGAGGGCGAGGAATCAGTGGAGGTAGGTCCTATAGAAATCCAAACTTTAATAATCTACCTTTACATAATTTCTGTTGTGCTGCTTGTGCTTCTCCCATATTTTTTTTAAAAAAACGCCTTCCCCTGGTTTTGTTTCATTCTTTATCCAAGATCTATGCAACACCAAGTGAGAGTAAAGTTTCCCCTAGTACGGAGCATGACCACATAGAGAAATGCAAGACAAGTGGCAAGCCTTTATAAAGTGTTTGATCAAGCACTTATGAAAACAAAGTAAACCGTAAAACTGTTCTTGCTTATATGCTTGTTGACCCTTTCAAAATAATTCTGATATAAACTAGAAACATTTGGCCAGTGTCACATGTTAGATCAAAGAGCGATGTGAAATTCAGCCCAGTATTTCTCCACCTCTTTGGCTTGTAGTCTCAAAATTTTCCGCATTCCTTAGCCTTGCCATTCTCTTCCTGCCAACACTGTCCAAGCCCCTCCTATATTTAGGTTGTTCTCTCTTCCTCCTTTTTCTGTGGGCATTGGTCTTCTCCACTGATCTTCCCTAAAGTTTCTGCTTCTCACCCACTATGTTCTGGAACTTTCCGTCTCAGAAGCTGCACTATTTTCCCTTCCTTGCAGACAGATTCTCATTCTGAGCAGTTAGAATGAGTGAATAGAAACCATCAGCTTACTGAGCAGTGAATGTGGGAAAGTTTGCCCATTTCTTATGTGCAGGAGCACATACAACTGTGGCTGGCTTTGTCTTATTCTGTGGTTGCTGTTGCTCTGTCCTTAGTTACGGACTAGTTCTGTTCTGTTGCCATGGAGTGGAAGGCCTGGCCCTCCATGCATTGCTAGTGTGTTTTATCACTATTTATTGGGGAAGTTTAGGGAAGTAGGTCGGTTATTTGTTCTTACAGTCTTAAAACTTTATTCACACTGATAATTGTGTTGTTTCAAAAAGGTCAGTAAGATTTTTCCACTCTCTTTGGAGTGGTTCTCTCTCTCTCTCTCAGGAAAAAAACAACAGACTTTTTACAAAATTTCTGTCTGCGAAGCCCATTGTTGTGTAGCTTTTAATCCTGTGAAACTGCCTATTGAGTGTAACATCACACCTTAAAATCAAGATTAATCACGTATGGATTGTACACATTTCACCCCAGCCCCTTGTCATACAACTCACACAGAACTATGACTTCTGAGATATAACTAAAAGAACCCTCAGATCTGACTATTATGGGGTTAAATTTGGAACCTCTAATTATGGACAGAAGTAAGACTTTTCTTTCCTGATCCTTTTTAGTTTTTGCCCGGGATATTCCAGCAGTAAACAACCTGCAAATAATGTGAGTAGGAGTATTATTTATGTATTAAAAAGCGTTCTTACACAAAAAACACAAAACTAAAAGAGATTATTTAAAGATGTGTCACAGAACTAAACATATTTTAAGTATTTCAAAATATATAAACAACACTTGGAAAAAGAATTTTGAAGTCTCAAGGGCAAATTACACACAGTGATAAAGACATAGTTTGGCATTGCATGAATCTTTTTAAAAACTTATATATAGCAGCTGTAGGGGGTGATATGGCTCCCAACATTTACCAAGTATTACATAGCAGAGAAAGATTGCTCCTTATTTTGCTTAATACCATGAAATGCCATGATAGAAAAACATTGTTTGCTAAATTGTCTGTCCGTAGTGTTCTCTGACATTGCGCAAAAACTCAGCAAATGATTTGGAGGATTTGCAGGCTGGAAACAGGTGCTAGACGTGTTTTGGTCTCTCAAATCAATCAGTACACACATACATACCTATCTGTTTCATGTGACAGTTTTCTCTTTCAGAGGGCATACTGTATGGCTTCTAACATGGAATGGCCATCCTCCGTGTATCTCCATTTCCATCCTTCATAACAGCAAGTAGAGATGCCAGCCAGGGAGGAGAGTCAGAACATAAAGCATAGTGGAGTATTTTATGAGTGATGAATAATAAAAGGAATAGTGCTGCAAAAACCTGCTCTTTGGGTGGGAAGCTTTAGTCTTGGCTTTTAGCCAGAGATCTCCCTGCTCACATACAGCCCCTAAACATATTTACAAAACTTCTCTGTTAAAAAAAAAGGTGTGTTCCCCATACTTTTCAGTTAGGGTAGAGCAAACTGAAAATGTTCTTAGGTTTTAGAATTAAAACCAGAAATTTGCCCTCCCCACAGAATCATGTGCTTATTTGAACCCTGGCCTTCCACTACACCAAACTGGTGTTGTGTATGAATTTGTAGTCAGCTGTATAAGCTATAAGTCTGGTCCAGGAATAAAGCAGGATGAAGACCGTGTTTCGAGAAACGAAGTGTAGGATGCAACTTGCATACATAGTCCCTAGCAGTAACAGTGGTAGTGCTGCTGTCAGACACCCAGCTCAGTGGCTTGCCAACCTTTCAGCTTTGGTGGAGCTGTTTTTACATGGTCCTCCACTGAGAAACCCTTCTAAAGCTTTTCTACAACACAGTTTGAAAACCAATATCTTAGTTCAACAATTTCAAAGCTAGGACCACCCCTTTAACTGCAGCCTTCAACAATGAGACCCTTTTTTTTTTAAAGCAACACATGGCTGTTCTTCCTCATCTTCCTTTAGGGCAGGGGTGGGGAAGGAACATGTGGCCCTTTAGATAGTGATGGACTTCAAGTTCCATTCTGGCCATGCTTGCTGGGGCTAATGGGAGTTGGAGTCCAACAACATCTGGAAGACCACAGGTTCCCCATATTTGCTTTAGGGTAACCAGAATGGAAACCAGGACTCCTATCCCTTTAATATTATACAGAAGAGGGGGCTTTAAGCAGCTTGTTAAGTAGAGATAAGAAAAGTTATCAAAACATTTATATAGCTATACAGGTGCCATTTTCCTTATTTAAATACCCACCCACCCTCAGATCCTAGAGATAACCCAGATTTGAGAGTACAGCCAAGAATGTAAATTGGGAAATCAGCACAGAAGAGTTAAATACCCCACAGCTCCACTGCTCTGATGAAATTCTGCTTTTCAGTAAAAATGCAAATGTTGGGAGATCAAGTTGCAGATGCCCTGCGCAGTGTAGCTTTGCCCTCAGATTTAAAGTTTGCAAAGTTGTTTTACATTCTTTGTCACTCTCTCATTCATCTTTATTGAATTTGATTGGCTTTTACAAGTGGAACTTGCAGCAAAAGATGACTCAGAAACTTCAACCGATCCAAAATGCAACAGCCTGTTTACTGGCTGGCGTTCCATTTAGAACTCGCATAAGCTCTGTGTTAAAACAAACTGCATTGTTTGCAGTTTCTTTCCTTGACCCAATTCAAGGTACCGGTACTTACTTGATGTTTGAAGTCATTTTCTAACTTTTGGAACCTTTTCTGAGTTTGGGTTTTTTTTGCTCTTGTGTGTGTGGGGGGGGATTCTTGTCCTTTTCTTTTACGTTGACTGTTGATTATATGTTTGTGTTCTAGAGTGTCTTAGGTTATTGTTAAGGAAGGACACTTGTGTCTTCCTTAGAACAAATCTTTTGTGTTTGGTACTTAACTGCTTTATTATTGAAAAAATTAATAGAAATCAGGCCATTCACTATGACAGCCCCTAAATTGTGGAATTCTCTTCCCAAAGAGGTGTGCACTTTCTTCACCTTATAGCTGTCATTGGATGTTGAAGTCATACCCTCACTGTATTTTCTTATTTAAAATTGCATTGGTTTCTTACTTAAATTCTCGTATCTCATTTTAAATTGTATCACTGTATTGTTTTAACCTGCCCTGGGACTTTGTGGTGAAAAGCGGGTTAGAAATCCTGTTTACAGTTACTATTATTTATTCCATTTATATCCTGCCCTTCCTCCAGAAGTCCAGGGCAGCAACAGAAAATGCAGCGTGGTGTACTATCGTTGAGGATTCCTGCCATTTCATTCTCCCTGCTCCCAAGCAGCCAGTCAGCATTTCATGCCAATTGTCAAGTTTTGGTTTTATCCCACCTAAAAATATTTTGTATCTCTGCAAACCTTGGGGTTTTTACCAAACTTGCATGGGATGTGCCATAAGCAAATGATACACAGTCTGAACTTTGGAAATGGAAGGAATTATGATGCATAGCGTAGGCAGAGATGTATATGCTTTGCAGTTCTCTTACTGTTGGTTTATATCTTGTAGAGTTGTGCTGCTGTGTATTTCTTGAGAGAGTGGGTGTTACTCAGCTACGTCTTACTCAGAGTAGTCCTATTGAAATGAATGAACCTAACTTAGTCTACTCTGAGTGAAACTTAGTTAAATACCACCCATTATCTATGGGCTGCAGTAAAGATGTGAGTGCATGGGGAAAATTCCTCCCAGGGTTTTTTGGGGGGCGGGGGATGTTTTCCTCAAGGGAAATTTGAGGGGTTTCCCCATTCCCCCCTCAAATCTTCAGATCTCTAGACAGTAGGAGAATTTGGTCTCTCCTGGTTGATGGTACTGCTTGCGGCATCGTGGAAAGTTCGTTTCAGAACTTACTTTATTTACTTCAAGTTCCTTTGACATGATACACTGTGGAGTTTCCTGCTTACAGTTCATTTTGATCTGGGTAGTGTATATTCTGTACAGGTGACTCTCAACTTACGCTGGGGTTACGTTCTGGGGGTAGCACATAAAGCCAAAATCACATACACTCAAAATGAAATGGGTTCAGTGGTGGGTGGGATTGCGAAAGACTTTTCCACCCAGACGTCCGCCCCCTTTTTATTATTACTATTATTATGCCAAGTGCATAAAGCTGTACTTCCACCATCAGACCATCTGCTGCTAGATGGTATCTGTTTTAGACACAGAATTCAGCATCCTATAAATCTCAGTGATAAACTTGAAAAGTAATGATCAGTAGTGAAATCTCAAAAGACCCAAATGTCCTGTGGTCCTGGAGACTTTTAGATGCCCTACATGGTTTCTTGCCCTTTTCAGTGGCCATTAGAACAAGTAGGCAAACAGACCTGTGAGCACATTTGCATAAATTATTTAAGTTGTAGATTTTGGGTTGCTTTTGTGCAAAATTTGGATATTCCCCTGAAATTTATGCAGATCTGGGGTATGTGTATGTATGTTGAACTGACATGAGGGCCCCATACCTCACATCTATAACAGCTAGCAATGTTCTCTAACACAAGTACAGTCGTACCTTGGTTTTTGAACAGCTTCGTTCTCGAATGTTTTGGCTCCCAAACGCTGCAAACCTGGAAATGACTGTTCCGGTTTGCGAACTATTTTTGGAAGTCGAACGTCCAACGAGGCTTCCTACAGCCAATCAGAAGCCATGCTTTGGTTTCCGAACGTTTTGGAACTCGAATGGACTTCTGGAACTGATTCCGTTCGACTTCCAAGGTACGACTGTAGTGTTTTAGATGCTGTGTAGAGCACAGAACTAGCATTATTTTTGTTTGGAAAGCCCCCAGTCTACATTTGATGGGCAGCACAAGGTTTGGGGGGGGGGGAGGTGGGCATGTTTAGCCTGGAGAAGAGGAGGTTAAGGGGTGATATGATAGCCATGTTCAAATATATAAAAGGATGTCACATAGAGGAGGGAGAAAGGTTGTTTTCTGCTGCTCCAGAGAAGCGGACACGGAGCAATGGATCCAAACTACAAGGAAGAAGATTCCACCTAAACATTAGGAAGAACTTCCTGACAGTAAGAGCTGTTTGACAGTGGAATTTGCTGCCAAGGAGTGTGGTGGAGTCTCCTTCTTTGGAGGTCTTTAAGCAGAGGCTTGACAACCATATGTCAGGGGTGCTCTGATGGTGTTTCCTGCTTGGCAGGGGGTTGGACTCGATGGCCCTTGTGGTCTCTTCCAACTCTATGATTCTATGATTCTATGAAATTGAGAGATGTATCCACTTGCTTTATACTGAGCCAGAACACCGGACTATCTGGTCCAGTATTTTTTCCTCTGACTGTCAACAACTCTCCAGCGTCTTTGGTAGATTCCCCCCCTGCCTCTTGTTCCAGAGAGCCTTTAATGATAAAATTGTATGTAAATGACTGAAACAAACAAACGCACTCAGAGATGGGTAATCTGCGCTCTCCAGATGTTATCAGACAACAGTTTAACTCTCTCTGTTGGCCATGAAAGTTGGAGTCCAGCAACATATGGAGGCCACAAGCTCCTCATCCCTCCTTTAACTGGAGATGGCAGGGATTCTGAACTTTAGTTCTTATGAATGCAAAGCATGTTTTCTGCTACCAGAAGCAGGTTAAGTATACAGTGACCCCAAACTCCCATTATTCTAGGCGCATTTTGCAACAGGGAATTTCATTGGCGTGACCAGGTTCTGAGCTCTGGGCACAGTACTGCGCCTAAGATTTCATATTAAAACTGCAAAGTGGAAGAAAAGGAGGACCTTTTTCTGCCTCCCCACTTCCAGCTACTCCCTGAAGACTGGAGAAGAGACCCTTTTAAGAATATTAGGGAGGTGGGCAGGGGAAGGAGTAGATCATGCGAAAAATGAACATAATATTTTAGCTGCAGTTGATTCATTTTCAGCTTTGTATTCTTGTTATATAAAAAAAGTGCGCCCAGACATTCCATTGTTGCTCCCATAACCTAGGTTTATTTAGCTCCTCGCTTTCATGTCTCAGTTTCTAACACTGCTCAGGAAAGGTTTTACCTGAAGGAAAAAACTTATTGGGCCAACATGAGGCATAGAAGAGGCATATATCATAAGGCATGAAGGTGGTGGAGGGAAAGGAATGTATCATATTATCCTTCCCCAATCTGGTGCCCTTCGGATGTTGTTGAACTCCCAATCTGCATCAGTCTTATCTAGCATGGCCAATGATCTGGAATGCTGGGGGTTGTGGTCCAAAATGACTAGAGGGCACCAGTTGGCAGAGGCTGTCATATGTGGCCACAGGGATGAGCCTTACTTCCCAGACTCTGGAGACCACAGATCAGGAGTGGGGAACACGTACCTCTGCAGAGATTGCTGGACTAGGATTCTATTATTCTATACTACAACTTCCATTACCTCTTGACTGTCAGCCACCCTGGCTGGGACTGATGGGAGCAACAGGTATGATGGAAGATCACAGGTTCCCCATCCCTACCATAGATAATTCTGTTTTGCAGGTAGGGGAAGCAACCATTACTTTAAAATTCCCTGTCATTGGAAAGATGGTTATTGCTCTCCTGTAAGTGTTAAAATGATGAGGGAATTGTTGTTCTTGCCTGTTCAAACTCTATGTAGGAAGTAGAACAACACAGCCTCCCAGATTATTATATCGCAGTGTGGGGCCCAATTTGACTTTGCTTGAGAAGGCAATAGGCATTTTCTGTTGTAATTGTATGTTCTTTGAAAAAATGTTCTCATTATAAAAAACTATACATGGTAATGCTATGTTTGTATTTTAATACTTTCTTTCATTATTTCCTAGCTTGCTTCTGGTTTTAAAATAGCTAAAGAAACTAATTTTAAGTACCTTAGAAACCTGCAGCTGAACACTTGGCTGGTTATTTCCGTTTGATATGTGACCTTCAGCCTTTGTCTTTTCCCTTCTCCACAGTTCCTAGCTTAAATGTTTTTTGTCCTTATACTTTTCCCTTTTGCCAACAACTTGGAGCCCCTCTTGTGCTCAGGCTGCACAAGCTATTTCACCCTAGCCCCTCACTCTGTTTGTTGTTGTTGTTTATAGTCGTTTAGTCATGTCCGACTCTTCGTGACCCCATGGACCAGAGCACGCCAGGCACTTCTGTCTTCCACTGCCTCCCGCAGTTTGGTCAAACTCACTCTGTTTAGCTGTTCTTTATCTCAGTCTTCTGTCTCCACACTTTCAAATGTTTTCAATGTCTTTTGCTCAGCCTACTGCCCTTTTTTCTTCAGTTGTGTGGCTTCTGGCCTCCTTATATCTTCCCAGAATTCTGTCTCCTTCCTTCCTGCTGACAGCACATAGTTCCACCTGTCCTTTCGCCCTTCGTTATCTCTTTTTCCCAAACAAGCGAACTTTTCAATTCCATCCACAGCAAGCCTTATTATTTGTCAACATTCTGTTTCAGACACTCACTGAACAGTTAGAATGTTTGTGAACATCTCATGATAGTGCAGAACCATTGGCCAGGGGCAGAAAGCCTGTAGGTGACAGGACAGGAGACAGACAAAGGACCATTTTTTGCCTGTTTATAGTTACCAATCTATCAGTAACAAGCTCAAGATTTGACGGCTGAAAAGTGGAGGGGGAAACTAGGATATAAGAGCTCAAATGAGGCAGCTAATGGGTATCATTGTCAAGGTTTAGATGGGTATTTAGAGACATGGGTATTTAGAGAGACAGGGACTTGGAGGAAGGCTGACTAGCTGGCGCAGAGATGGGGCACCTGTGTACAAGCCGCATCAGTCCTAGCCATCATTCCCAGTGGTCAGCGAAGTTGTAGTCCAGCAATGTATTGTAACCCTCAGGTCCCCTCCCCTAACCTTGAGGATGGAAATGACTTACTGCAAGTGATTTATGAGCTGTACTAATGTGCAAAACATTTTAGAAGGGAAGCATTACTAAACATATAAAGGGCCTGAAGACAGAAAAGCCTTCGTTTAGTTGGTGCAGGGGGCTGGATTCAGGATAAATGTTTCTGCAAACTTTGGTAGACTTCTGCTGAAACAAACACTTTAAAAATTGTTGTTGAAATCTTTTTCTTTCCCCCTTCTTTTCTGAAGACAGTGTATTCAACTATGAATACAGTGTATTCAACTATGAATACAGTGTATTCAACTATGAATACAGTGTATTCAACTATGAAAAACTGAAGAAAGACATTATTTTGACCAACGTTTAACTAATCAAATTTTCTGTGCCTGCTTATTGTAATGAATTTGGACCTTGACAGCACTTAGCCCAATCCCTTTACTTTGCTAGAGAGGGTGTGGATATGAAGCTTTAAAAATGTACCTACTTGAGATCAGCTTCGTTTCTCATTTTAACAAGGAGGAGCCTGTTCATAAAGTATGGAGAAACAGTGGCTTTGTTTATGTTTTTGGTCTCTTAACTCCTTTCAGCCAGCTTTAGCCAATAAAGTCAATGGCCAAGGGTATTGGAAGTTGTAGTTTAGCAACATCTGGAGGGCCCCAGGTTCCTCAGGACTTTTCTAGTTTGTGACCTCATTTGTATGGGGTTCCCCCCCCATATAGGTAGTCTCAGTGGTGTGCCCCTGATTTATTGTTTTCCTTTACTAGTATACTATCTTAATTCAGGGATGGAGGACCCGTGGCCTTCCAGATGTTGGATCTACAACTCCCACCAACTCCCAAACCATTGTGTATGCTGGCTGGAGCCGATGGGAGTGATTCCAACAACATATGGAGGGCCACAGATACTCCTTTCTTATGCACAGTGAAATCCTATGCATGTCTACTTGGATGTAAGCTCCGTTGAATTCACTGGAGCTTTACTGCCAGGAAAATGATATTTGGTTTCAACTTTAATTACCGTTTGCAAATGGTATGATGTGAAGGAAATGTATTAGAAGTGTGGGAATCGCACTGATGTCTCTCTCTGTGTGTATGTGTGTGTGTGTGTGTGTGTGTGTGTGTGTGTGTGTGTATATATATATATATATATCCCGTGTGTGGGTGCCAGTGAGTTAAATTTCAGTTGTGTGTGGTTTTAAGAGCGTGGGGCAGACAAGCTCAGAAATCCAGACGCATGAGAAGTTGTTCCATTCCTGCTTGGTACTGTTTTTGTTAGAAGAATCTACAGTACTCTGGCTAATACTTCAAAAACACATTGCTCAGCTACCAGTGTGAACAGTAGCAAAGTGATAGGGCAATATGGAAAGAAGGCAGAGTACAGGAATGTTGATTTGGGCCTCTGGCCTGCCACTTGCCAGATCTTAGTCTTGTCTACACAGATGGATTTCTGTGTATTTTCTTCAAAGTTGCTCCTCAGAAAGTCTCTCTACTACCCACTCTGTGGCTTTTACATGATTTGCCCTTGCTACCATTTCTATCCAGGTACAGGCATCCCCTGTTTACGTGTGGGAGTTATGCCCAGAGGCACCATGCGTGTTAGCAAAATCGCATGTAATTGAAAACCCATTGAAAAAGCCTGCAAACACCCCATTCTGTCCCCGTCCTGCCCTTTTAGTGACGTTTCAGTGATGACTTTATGACATTTCTGGATCACTCCTGGGATCAGAGTGGTGCATGTGTACACGATCGATCATACATAAATTGGGGGGGGGGGGCTGCCTGTATCTGCATCTGATCAAATTAACCCTTGCTCCAGGAATACTCACCAAGAAACTTGGTTGCCTTAGCTGGAGTAGGAAATGGTTCTCCCACACCCCCAGCCAAGGTATATAGGAGCCAAGGGTAGCTGAGTTATTTTGGCACCTGAGGCAGCAGATCCCACAAGTGCCTCTTCCACCTCATTGGCAGTAAAAATGCAACAAGAGTGGGGAACCTGTGGATCTTCAGATGTAGTTGGACTCCAGCTCTCATCAGTCCCAGCCAGCAAGACCAGTTGTCAAGGGTGATTGGGAGTTGGGAGTCCAGCAACGTTTGGAGGGCCAAAGGTGTTTCACTCCTGAGACATGGCAATTAAAGATTCCTGGGTTGCAGGGGGTTGGACCAGATAATCCTCTTGGTCTCTTTCAACTTTACAGTGCTATGATTCTATGAGTCTAATAATTTGCTGCCCCTTTTTGACACACCAAATCAGCTGCCTACGGTGGTCATATCTCTCTGCCCAGTGGTAGGAAGCTTCCAGTATGTACGCTATGCACGGTCATCCACACCTTGTTGTGACTTAAAGGTTTTGTGTGCACAGAACTCAAGTTTTGCCCTTAGCAGTTCTCCAGGCAGAGGTCAATTGCATTTGCTGTAAATGAGCAGTGAAGTATTTGTGTATGCCAGGGATTTCCCATGTGTGTGTCTTCATGTAATAACAAAACTTGAACTGTTTTTATCAGGAAATTTTTCACTTCCATGTCCGGGGCTTGACTATCATCGTCATAGCGTGGGTGGGAGGGTATTTTTTGTAACTGAGTTCTGCTCAGTATAGAAATATTCATTTGACTCTGTGGCTTCCGAGCTGGGTAGTAATTCCTTGTGATTTTTAGTTGCCTCCAGAGATGGCCTGAGTAATGTATTATGTTGAAACCAAATGCGGGAAAAGGAAAATAATGAGAAAACCAGACACTTGGAGCCTTTGCTCCAGAAGTTTCCATTAAGACAACATTCTTGAGTGGGAATACACAGGAATGAATGGTTTTCCTCTTTTCCAATGTTGTTTAATCAATATTAATGTTGTTTTACAGAAAGCAATTTTTCAAATTGTTTCCTTGAAAATTAACAATACTGGCATTTAGTTTATGCTTCTTTAACTTTTCTAACCCTCTCTACACTTTCCCCCAATCCATTTATAGCCCTTGGGGGGGGGAATAAAATGTGTGCAGGTGTGTTTGAGGGTATCTGAGGGAGTACTGCTTAGCAAGAGAGAGTAAGTATTGTGGTGTGCTTTCACGAAAAGCTTGGTTACTTGCGCCAGGGCAGGCATGAACATCTGCTAGTTGATAGAAGGTGCGTTGCCTTTAACTGTTCTTCCCTGCTGTGCTGGGGGTGGCTCTTTGTGAGCACCACTTCCTGGATGATATGGCTGGGCTCAAGCTGCTGATAAAACAGGATTCACCCATCTGACTGGCCCAGACAGTGGAACAGCAAGTGCCCTCTGTTTGCTTGCAAAACCCCAAAGGAGCTATTTAATCTGCTACCTTGGCTGTGCATATTCCCCAGTTGTATGTACAGCCTACTCTTTGACGTTTGTGTCTTTGGCAAAGTAGGTCGGTTTCCCAACTCAATGATAACAGTTTCCCACTCTGCAATGTTGTAATCTTGCTGTAACATGGTCACGGATTGGTCTTGCCTCATACAATTGTCGGTAAGTTTGGCAGACACTCTTTTTCTCCTCTCTCTCTCTCTCTCTCTCTCTCTCAACATTCTCACATTCATGCTTGTTAGTAGCAAAGTTGCTTTAGGTGAACTCTTGTGATGTCTTGAATGGTAGAGAACATTTGCTCCATTTAAAAAACTGTACATTACTTTCACGTTTAGCACCCTATTGTTGATTTGGAGAGCTGGGTGTTTTTCATGCTTGCCCAGTGCTATCTGTTGAATGGCATACGGAAAGCCAATGAAATGTTTGCCTATTTTTGTATCTTACACAAACAAGCAGTATGCTCCAAACCAATTCAGAATAGCTGTGCTGTTTTTGAAAATTAAATAAAGCTGTGACCTTCCCTGACTGCCAAGCTTGCGTGTTTGGTGACGTCTCAGGCTGCAGGCTCCGGCTGCGCTCATTATGTTCTCCTTTTGCATCCCTTCATCATCAGCAGTCCTTTTGTGCTCATGAGAACGGCGAGGAGTGCTTTCAGATGGCAGCAAAGGTCACCATTTGTTTTGGGTATCGCGGATTGTGACAGTCCTGTCTTCGTGGCTCTCCTTTCCTCTTTGCACAAGAAACCAAAAGGGCTTGAAAGAGGACAACACAAGGGTGTTTTTGATGACTTTAGCTGTTGCTTCCTCCCCTTCATAACCCTGCCTAAGTTAACTCTTTTCTCCCCCCAGTCGCTGAAAGTGCATTTGTTGCAAACTGATTTTTGTTGTGGGTGGAACAGGGTGCCAAAGGAGTCCCATTTACCCAGCAGTTGCGCTACATAACTGTGAGGATAGGAAAAGTGTCCCTGTGGAAAGCCACATACCTTTCTGCCCACCCCCCTCACCAGGACACTCCCACACTCAAAGCAGGATGCTGCCCTTCAGACTATACAAGCCGCATACTGATTGTGCAACGATTCCTGTCAGTGTGGCGGGGGGGGGGGCGCAGCAACGTGGGCTGAAACAGTCATGTTGACTTGCTGGGATCCAGAGGACTGAGAAAAAAATTGTAAGCTGCTCCCTCCCTGCTGGGTTAAAAAAGGCTGAATCACACACCGATCTAGTGATTTCTTTTCTATATGCAGGAAAAGAATATTTTATTGCAGATATGCATGTACACATGTTATGTGTCCTAACTGCTTTTACTATCAACATTTAAGGTAAAGGTAAAGGGACCCCTGACCATAAGGTCCAGTCATGACCGACTCTGAGGTTGCGGTGCTCATCTCACTTTATTGGCCGAGGGAGCTGGCATACAGCTTCCGGGTCATGTGGCCAGCATGACTAAGCTGCTTCTGGCGAACCAGAGCAGCACACGGAAACGCCATTTACCTTCCTGCTGGAGCGGTACCTATTTATCTACTTGCACTTTGACGTGCTTTTGAACTGCTAGGTTGGCAGGAGCTGGGACCGAGCAACAGGAGCTCACCCCGTCGCGGGAATTCAAACCGCCGACCTTCTGATCGGCAAGTCCTAGGCTCAGTGGTTTAACCCACAGCGCCACCCGCGTCCCTACTATCAACATTTAATGTCCACAAATCATTCTTTTTTCTCCCCAGTGACAACACCACTGGGGAAAGGGGTTTCCTTTTTTGTGACTTCGTTTTGCTCTCTGCAAACTAGCAGCAGTCTTGACATTTGCTTACTTAGCGAAATGTTTGCTAAAGAAGGAGCCACATGGATGATCATTTCTTCCTTCCATTACTCCATGCCTCCAACTCTCCACCTTCGGGCTTCACTTTTCACTTCTGTTTATTAGATTTCTGACTGCTGCACCCATTGATACGGGAACTCCTGCAATGTGGGGCCCTCTCTCCTCACTGCCAAGGGTAACATGAGAGACCTTCACCTCTGTGAATGGAGCCTACAGTGCAGCTTCTCATCATGCCAACATTCTAGAACTGAGTCAAGGCTGAAGTGGTTAGGAGTTACTATAAGCCTTTCCCACATGGACTGGAACTTGTCGCAGTATGCTTTTGGCGTATGAAGGAACAATACTTCCATACTGCGAGGAAGCAGGCTTTAGCGGCTGTCATAGAGAGGTGAGAAAGGACCACAAATGATGGATATTCGAAATGTTCCCCAAGAGCCACAAGCTGTCAGGGAGATGGCCCCAATGAACCCGTGGTCTCATGTTGCAGAGGCTTGGTCTAGGAACTATTTTTTTGGTGGTTACCTGCCTATATGGCAAGCAGGTTTTCTTTGATCAGGTTGTGCTTGTGGGCCTTCCCAGAGGCATCTGGTGAGCCACTGTAGGAAATGGGATGCTCATCGCTGAGCATCTTGTTTGCCTAGTAGCCATAAAATAAAATTTTTAAAAATTCCCCTCCCACATGCATTTGCCATATAAAACAAATATTTGAAAACCTTCTTACGAACTGCAGTGGACTAGCTTAGTGGACGTCATCTGGCAATGAATTCCAGAGTCATGGGGCTACCAGGGAAAAAGATTCTGCTGCAGGTCTGAAAAATACGTTTTTGTTCCCTGCGTATTGCTTTTCATTGTATTTTAGGAGCTAGTGCTCCTGCACAGTCTGGATAGGTTTTACACATTTCTATACACTGACATCAATCGTCAAGGAAGCAAGGTGCCTGGGATTTTCCCAGCTCTCTTGCACTGTTTCCCAGACCTCCTACGCAAAAGCCAGATAGCTTTGAACTTGCACAAGCACTAGCCCATTAGTGTGACCTTACGGGGTTTAAATTGTCTGCATCAAGTGTTGCTGGTTTTTTAAAAGAGTGTTCAACTTGCACTTGCTCTGTTGTTTTTTTAAGAGTTGCATGATACAGAAAACATTTGTCATAGCTGAGACAGAAGGCCTTCCAAGTTTGTTTGAACCTAGAATGCTCCTCCTGTCTTGCACTTATTAAATATTCGGAAACGCTGGGATCTTTGCCTTCTGTCAGTATTTGCAAAATGACACATTTTTAGGTGTATGTGTGCAGACAGATGCTGCTTTATCCAGAGTGATTTGTTCTTATGTTAGAGATTAAGGGCAGGTTTAACCTGGAATCTCCCAGTCGGATTAAGGTTTCATTGGCCTCTCATCACGGGAGATAGCAAAAATACCTTTCCCCTTCTGAGGCTTGAGCCCTGGAGTTTAGTGAAGCAGCTGCTTTAGCTTGGCAGCGTTTGGAATTGTAAACATCTCTTTTTGATGCTGTTTGGCCCAAGAGCATTTACAGAAGTGACACTGTTTTCGGATGTGAGGGGATAGCTCATAACATTGTCTTTTAAGGCCAGTAATTTCCTAGGGTTGGAAGGGAGTATAGGGTCATCAAGCCCAGTAACTTGACACAAGGAGGAATCCCACCTAAAACAAACCTCAATGCACAATTTTTCCTCATTTGTTTATGGGTGTAAGGGGCAGACAGATGGTTTTTCCTTGAGGCATCAGTTTCGATTGAGGAGGTATGTAGTTTTTCCCCTAGGCACTGAAAATGCTGTCTTTTATTCACAATTTGCAGCTTTCCCCTTCTGCTAGCACATGAGTAGGGAAACTAAGGCCCGGGGGGCCGGATCTGGCCCAATCACCTTCTAAAACTGGCCCACGGACAGTCCAGGAATCAGCGTGTTTTTACATTAGTAGAATGTGTCCTTTTATTTAAAATGCATCTCTGGGTTATTTGTGGGGCCTGCCTGGTGTTTTTACCTGAGTAGAATGTGTGCTTTTATTTAAAATGCATCTCTGGGTTATTTGTGGGGCATAGGAATGTGTTCATCCCCCCCTCCCAAAAAAAATATGGTCCGGCCCCCCACAAGGTCTGAGGGACAGTGGACCGGCCCCCTGCTGAAAAAGTTTGCTGACCCCTGTGCTAGCATTTCAGGTACAATTATTAGCCCAGTCTGGAATGTGATGGTCTGGGTGCCTTGGGCATCTGTTGGGTATCCTACTCAGGTCTATGGCATTTTGTGCCAGTTTTAGGATTTTAGTGTTACTATTTTTCAGTCACTTGGCAACACATTGCTCCTTTGCTATACCTCTCAAGGATGGTAAAACTCAAAACAGCCGCTAATAAATTTATATATTGCAAACACCATGATGCCTCTGCTTTCTACCCCCAATATGGAGAAAAGGGCCGGAAGATCAGTGGTTAGAGCCACCTGTTTTGGATGAAGAAGGTTGCAAAGTGGCTTCCTGGCACCTCCATTTTAAATGTACAGGTAGCAAATGATGGGAGAAATCTCTGGCAGAGAGCCACTGTCAGAGTAGACAATTCTGGGCTAGATGGATCAGCCTGAAATTCACCTTCATATGTTCATAAGGCCCCATCGTTTTGTGAGCCTTTTGCTTTTAAGTTTTATTTTCAGAAAGTTCTGAAAACTGTGTGCTCCCTGTTTTTCCCCGCTGGCCCAGTTTCTTCAAGTATATATTGTTTCCTTGAGACACATAGCTTGACTTGTTTGCATGAATCATGCGGAAGTATTGCACTGCAGACATCTATTGATCTTTCAGGGCAAGCAATTATGACTGAGGACCAGTTCTGGGAAAAAAAATTGTGGGCCACTTGAGAATAACTGAGAATGCTTCTGGATCACTTAATAAACATTTCTTCCTCTGCATATGAAGCAGACCTGTAATTCATGGTTTTAATAGCCATATGAAGGTGCTTCTGAGTTACATGTGCAGAAAAATAAAATAATGTCTTCTTCTGCACCAGCATCAGTGTCAAGACTAACACAAGTATAATGAAAATGTTGAGCCCTAGACCATGACCTTGTTAGCCTGTCTGATAATTTGTCCCTGGTTAAAACAGCCTCAGTCAGCACCATCAGGGACAATGTGGTCATCAGTCAGGTACAAATATTTTCAGCTGTTGCTTAACCATTCTGTTGACTGCCTGAATGGAACTTTCAAACCGCAGTTTGAGATTCTCTTGTCCAGATTAAGGTGGTTGTTGTTTTTTAAATACATTTTGTTTGTTCATTGTAAGTTGCCTTGAGAGAGCTTTGCCCTAAAAGGCCTCCTAAAATAAATAGAAACAAAAACTTGGGATTTCTTTCAGCTCTCTGATTCTGTCAGTCTTGATAGAACAGTCGCTAAAGGCCTGTCCTCTCTAGGGCTGGGCAATATCTGATTTTAAACATCACGATATATCACCAGCTACATATAATGATATCTTGATATGTTGCAATATATATTGGTGGTGGCGGAGAACCTTGCCGGGCCTCCCTGTGGTGGTGGAGGGGATTAAAATGTAAAGAAGTAGTAGATTTAATAAAAATATTAAATAAACTTCCATATAATATCTTTAATATATTTTCAACTAATTTAAGGGTAGTTTAAGTGATTTACTAGTCAAGTTGCATCTGCTTCCCCATTCAGAGATCTAAGTGGAATCTGTACATGCATAAACCCCACTGAGTTCAACTAAACTTAACTGCTGGGAGTAAGCCTCATGGAATTCAGTAGTACTTGCTTGTGAGTAGGCTCACATTTGCTTGCACTGCTTACCGAAAAACACCCCATCATTTTCACATAGTACCTAAACTCCCATTGTTCAGCATTAGGCAGCCAGCTAAATCTTCTCCCCTCCATTCCGCCCCCCCCACAGAAGGCCCGCCCAAAGCTCTCATCCCACCAATCTCTCCCTTTTTATCAAAGAGGGGGAGGGAGGTCAAGCAAGCAAAAAGAGAGCAAGCAAAGCTGGAAACCCTGGTGCTTGCAAAATATCTGCAAAGTATCCATTCAGATGAGCTATCCCTCTGGGAAGCTGTTAAATATCCACCTTTTGTTCACAGGTATACAGTCCTACCTCCGCTGACTGGTTAGTAAACTTCGGGATACATAAGTGGCAAACCCGGAAATAAATTTCCAGTTTTTTGCTGCATGCGCAGAAGTGGTAGACTGCTTTTGCGCATGCACAGAAGCACTCTACCACTGTGCGTGCTTGCGCAGAAGCGGTTCCTCCGGTTGCGGAAACCTCGGGATCTGACCAGAGCACTGGAATGGATCCTGTCCGCAACCGGACAGGTACCACTGTATTGCCTTGTTGAAACTGCTTATCACAATGTTATTTCAGTACAGTGGTACCTCAGGTTACATACGCTTCAGGTTACATACGCTTCAGGTTACACACTCCGCTAACCCAGAAATAGTGCTTCAGGTTAGGAACTTTGCTTCAGGATGAGAACAGAAATCGTGCTCTGGTGGCGCGGCAGCAGCAGGAGGCTCCATTAACTAAAGTGGTGCTTCAGGTTAAGAACAGTTTCAGGTTAAGTACGGACCTCCGGAACGAATTAGGTACTTAACCCGAGGTACCACTATACCAGTTTACTGTACAGCCCTAGTCCTCTCACAAGGAAGACAGGAGAGCATCTGGAAAAGACATACCTTGGAAAACACACTAGGCGTGGTTCGAAATGTGCACTTGCCATTCAGTTTCCCAGAAGGTTGTTGAATATGTGCATATTACAAACATGTGGATTGTGAATACTCTGAAGCAAAGGTCCAAATCTAATGGCCACTTCTCCATATACTCATTTTGAGAACATTTGTAACGGGTGGAAAATAGAGAACTGAGAAATTAGCATTGCTGTGAACTTCCCTGCTCTTCTGAAGGCAGGCCTTATCTAATACACTGATATATCTCTTCAGTTAATTGTTGGTGTCTAGTGGCTCTTATTTCACAATCTTTCATGTTTCTAGTTGCTCTTGTTTAGAGGGCATCTATCACTCCATTGTAAAGCTTAGAGATTGACAGGGTGCGGCTTCCACAATCTATCATTCTCCAAGCTTCCCTCTCCTGTTCTGTCTTGCATTTTATTTATTGCTGTGGATTGGAAGAAAGAGTTTTTGAACTTGCATAGTTGTGCCGGGGGGGGGAGAAAAGCTATAACTAAAACTCATGTAAACGTGATGCAGATTTTTGGTTCCTTCTGTCAAAAATAAAATAAAAAATACCTGAGAAGGTATGGCTTTGTACAATCTTTCAGCAGGCTATTCCAGTAAGAGGTTTTCCTGGCTGTTAAGAATTAGAATTCAACATTTCTCTTTGTTGCTTATAGTTGGCGTACTGTTGCTGGAGAGCCTGGGCTGTTCCTGAGGCCTTTCCCTTCCTCGGCCTCATAAATGTAAAAAAATATATATGTGTGTGTTTTCTTTGGAACCTTCTCTCCCCCTGAAATGTGTCACTTTCTTTCAAGTTCTTTCTGTCTGACCCAAGCTTGTGGTAGGCTGCACTCTGATAGAGCTTGGTGCCCTCTTTATTTAGCAGGAGCTATTATGGGCTACATATTGGCTACTAATCCTCCAGGTTATGACTGTCTTAAGTCCTCTTAATTTTTGAAGGATGGTGCAGCTCGCAGATAACAACTGGGTCAGGACAGCTGGAGAGAGATTTTCATAGTCTGGGGCTGGGCTGTGGGAAGGAATAAATCTCTGCCAAAAATTAAATATGAATATATTTGTAGTCTGTGTTGTGTACAGATGTATAAGGGTTGTGGCTTAGTGCTTTTCCACAATGTTCTTATGATGAAGGGCTCAAGGGCTTGGTGTGTGTTAGTTGTTTTGTTATTAAGACTAAAAGGTGGGGAAATAATTGGTTTATTGACATGAATGAAAGGAGGCATTCTTTTTCCCGCTGTCTCGTAATACTGGAATAACTAATGATTGTCAGAAAGTTGAGGACTGGCAAAAGGGAATAATTCACTCATCACGCAAAACTCTGGTAAACTTATTGAAATTGTTCACTTCTGGAGGGTAATGCACTCTAGAGGATACTTGAGGCTCCTTAGGAGTTTCTGCTTGGTATGGCTAGCACTCTTATTTGAACCCTACTTAAAGGGGTTTGATGTCCTTCAGATGTTGTGGGCTCCAACTCCCATTATTCCTGACTACTTGCCATGTTGACTAATGGAAGTTGCAGTCTAGAACATATGGAGGGCACTACATAGGCTATCCTCGCCCTAGCCAAACGGTTGGGTGAGGAGGTGGCCTGGGCATTTGATGCAAAAGAACCTAAACTTTCTTGCAGGGTCCAATTGACACCTTGTTTTACCAGAGAGCTAAGGACGATGAATCTGGAAGGTTGATAGCATGAAGCATTAAACTTAATGTGAATACAGTTGAACGCAGCTGAGAAAGTATGATTTTGCCTACTGTATTGTGAACTGCCCTGAGATCTGCGGAGAAATCAATCAAACAAACAAACAAACAAACTCTGGGAAAATGATGGCAGTGTACAACAATACTTTGCCACCATTGCATTCTTAGTGTGTCACCCACAGGAGTGTTTCCAAGACATTTGGGGCATATTTGGTCTTAGCCCACAGCTCTCACAAGCATGCTGTTTTTTGCAAGACATTTCACTTGAAGAATTGCTTGAATCCAACTGAAAACTGCAAATGCAATACTGTATATCGTGCAGTAAAGTTAATGAATACATCAAGGGCATACAGTAATCTGATCTTGTTTTAAGGGAATGAATGCTATTGTGGCCTGAGGATATGGGCAAGGCGCATGGAGGGGGTGCCTACTCAACCCATCATGGCTGATGATCCCAGGGAGGGTGTTGCCTTTCTGGAAGCAGGGTATGATTAATGCCTCCCTTGAACAAGGCTGCTCCTGAAGAAATTCTTCTGCATTTCAGGAGCGTAATAAGCTGGTCACATATACTCCCTTTTGGGGCAAGGGTGGCAGCAGGCAACTCCAGGAATTATTGATTGACTGATTTCCTGGACACATGCCAGTATGGCTTCAGGTTTCAGGCTTGGTTTAGGCACAGAAACTGCCTTGGTCACCTTGCTGGATGCTGGGAGAAGGAGTGCAGCCTGGGTAATTCCCCTGCACTTCTCAATTGCTTTCGATGCCATTGACCTACAGTGCCCTTCTGGGTAGATTCTCAAAGAGTTGGTGGCATGGAGTTTTGGTGATCCCTCCCCTATTCGGTTGGAGTAATTGCTTATTATTGGTTCTTTCGTGGCGTTTATGTCGTGAAGTCCCACAGAGTTCCACCTTCTTCTCCCATGCCCTGTAACATCTGCATGAAACTGTTGAATGCAGTGGGGTGAGATGTCATCAGTATTCACAATACAGTACAAGCAACTCTGCATTTCTCATTTGTATCTGAATCAGGAGGTGGTGGAAGTGCTGAACCTGGAGCCTGAAATTTGTAGTGGGCTGGATCAGGGCTAATAAACTGAAGCTCAGTCCTGAGAAGGTGGGTGTGTTATGGACAGAGGTGCTTCATTTGTTTTAGGAGATGGTGTTAAGGCATTTCTGGACAGGACCATACTCCTCTGGAAGACTATGGTTTCTAGTTTAGGGGACACGTCTGGATCCAACTTTGTCACCAGAAGTCCAGCTGTTGGGTCTTTCATCAGCTGAGACTGGTGGGCCAGCTGCATTCTCTCTTGGACACGAGAACCTCTTGGACACGGTTATGCATTATACCTGAGGCTACCGTTTTGGAAACCTGCTGGAAACTTCAGTTAGTATAAAATACAGGTGCTAAGTTGCTGACTTGAGCTTTGGGAGCACATTATTCTAGTGCTTATAAAACTCTACCCGCTTCCAGTTTGTGCTGATAGTTGTTTGCCACATCCAGTAGGGAGCCTTCATTACATCAGGCCTGGGTACATCTTTAATTGAATATGTTTATACTGACAGGGCAGCACGCATAGAGATTAGGGTCCCCCGTGGGTTTCTAGCAAAGCAGCTTGCTGTTGTTTTTCCTGGCAAAATTACTATAAGCAAAATTGCTTACATTCAGAGTACTTGTCAAGTTGTTACTGCCTTATTAACCCCTGGCTGTTTCCTGCTGTCCCTGCCCCCCCCCAATCAAATTAAGCCCTAGTAAGTTGCAGAAATCCACTATGGACTGCATAAAATGCTATTGTGGCTGATGAAACTGCACTTCATAGCCTACATACAGATGGATTAGATTGTGCCTTCAGCAAATTCATGCACATTTTCAAACAGTTATTTTGCTTCTGCAAATCATATAGTAAAGCAAGGGGCTGCAGGGCACTGAAGCTCCACTTCCTGAACGCTCAAAATCCTGTTCTGCATCCCTGTTCTGGCTCTCGGATCTCACTAGGCATTGGCTTTACACAGACATTTGAAGCCTGTTCTGGCAGTCATAAGGGTAAGAAACATCATCATCATCATTATTATTATTATTAAAAAGCAAGCTCAGGTTCCTGGGGTGCTGAATTCTGCACCCGTTACCCAATTCTGTGTTTTTGTTCAGTTTGTGTGGAATTGCAGAATATTCATAAAATAGACTACCAGTTTGCTTATGAAGACAAGGAAGAATGCCATCTACTGTGAGCTTACCTGTCTAATCTCCTCTTCTTCTTCTTCTTTGGTGATCACTTGTAGCTGAGTAAGATTTTCTTCCATGAACACGTTCTTAACGGTGTGTCTGTGGAAGCCAATTCTGGATCCACACACCCTTTCACAGTGGGAACATAGGTTTCTGGGCGAGAGTTGATCATGGTGAAGATTTGCCAAAGGTGCCTTCCTCTTAGCTCATTTTTCCCTTTCATCCTGAGTTCAGGCTTCTTCAAAGTCCTAGACACCTTTGGTAAAGGCTTTTCTCGAATTGGAGTGCTCGCAGGCCAGTGTTTCCCAATTTTCTGTGCTTATACTTCATTTTTTAAAGATTTGCCTTGAGAGTGTCTTTAAACCTCTTTTGTTATCCACCAGTATTTCGCTTTCCATTCTTAAGTTGGGAATAGAGTAGACAATAATCAGGCATCCGAACCACATGACCAGTCCAACGAAGTTCATGTTCAATAAGCTTAATTGAGGAGGCTTTCATTTATCCTGCCTATATGAGATGAATGTGCAGCTAGAATACAGAAGAGAGTTTTCTCTGGGGTGAAATCCAGATTAATTATTTTATTTTTTTAATTATACCTCATCTTTCCTCCAAGGAGGTGCACATGGTTCTACCCCAACCCATTTTATCCTCAAGTAAGGCTGAGATACAGTAACTATCCCAAGACCACCCAGTGAGCTTTTATGTGGCTGAAGTTGAGACTTGAACACAGGTCTACCAAGTCCTATACTGATACTCTTAACCACCTTGACTCTCATTTACATAGCTGCTCAGAGACTTCTGTATGGTGCCCTTCTTAATGATCTTAACATCTGTTATACAGTGGTACCTCAGGTTACATACGCTTCAGGTTACAGACTCCACTAACCCAGAAATATTACCTCAGGTTAAGAACTTACCTCAGGATGAGAACAGAAATCATGCTCCGGCGGTGTGGCGGCAGCAGGAGGCCCTATTAGCTAAAGTGGTGCTTCAGGTTAAGAACAGTTTCAGGTTAAGTACAGACCTCTGGAACGAATTAAGTTCTTAACCTGAGGTACCACTGTATTATCAGTCACTCTGTTTCCATTATTGTTTTTTAGTGTGTGTGTTTCATTTTAAATTGTTCAATGTTTTCTGCTTTGAGCATCTCGGATAGAAAGGTGGTGGATACATTTGCTAAAATATATAAACAAACACCAAAGATTTGCATTCCTCTTTCCGCTTCATTTGTAAACCTTCCAGGTTGTGGTGATCATTCAAGTCACATTGTTAAAACTTTGGGGCAATGAAAGCGCGTAGCTGGAATCGTATCTCAGCTAAGTTAGTCTGCTTAAGTTACCCAGTGGAATCAGGTCTTTGTGTACAGATGAACTGACTAATAAGGATGAAATTCACAACTTTCAGAGATTTGACCAAGTGCCCTCCAGCTTTGTTGGAACTGATCCTGATCCTTAGGGACTGGTGGTTTGAAAAGCCTCTTCAGGGTTTGCTTTCGAAAAAGCCTCTTCAGATGCACTGGGCCTTTTGCCTTTCTTCAAAAAAACAAAAGAAGTTTACAAATTGTGCAGCAATGGGTTTGTAGACCCTGTGCATGTTTCTCCTGTGGATAACTGCCTTTGTCTGTCCATATTAGTCAACAAAAGCTAGATACTTCAGAGTATGGGGTCCTCCATTCTTTTTGTTATCTAAGCAGGGGTAGCAAACATGAGTATCCTCCATTGTGGTTGTCCACGCTGACCAGGGGAGATGGGAGTCCAATAACCACATTGGCTACATCAATAGTAATTGGCTTTTAGAGAAATGATTCTGAAAGGAGACCTATCCAGCCCCTCTGAAAATTCTCTTAATGGGAATTTTTGTGGGGAAATGAGACACAAGGGAATGCCAAAAATCATGTGGAATTATCACCCATAAGAGAGAGCTCCACTCAAGTTATTCATTTATCTGTAACACACACAAAACCCTCTTGCCACAACCCACCCAATTCCGGTGAGTTCCCCCCAACCGTCAGAAGAGTCTTTTACTGGATTCAGAAGGCTGCCAGGGCACACAGGAGACAGGAAAGTAATCTGCCTACCACCTGCATATCTCTGGATCCAAGCCCAGGTCTATTTCTCTTGAACCGAAGGGCATCCCTGCTCACCAGGATGGCTAGGTGAAGTACAAAATCTGCATTTTCTTGAATTTGTTTTGGGGGCGGGTTTCCCTTGGGTGCACAGTACCCAGGGTAACTTTTGTTTATCCCCATGTTTTGAAGTTGCTCTGTATTTGAACTGAATCCAGTCTTCTGTTACAACGAATCCAGAAGTTCCTAGTATGGTGCATTTGTCTCCCAGGCAGTACAAGCATGTGGGTGAATATTTCTGTTAAACGTTGAGTGGGAGGAAGCTGGTTTACTAGAGGCAGCTGATTTTCTGGAAGGAAATTGCGTCTTCCTGTCAGGGGGCAGCTGGAGAAGCAGCAGCAGCAGCAAGAACTGGGGCCCAGGTTGCTTCTAGGAGACTCGTTTCTCACAGCCATCTGGCACAGGCGTGCAAACTTAAGATCCACTAATGTAACCTGCTATCCTGCCTGCTGCTCAACAAATCTTCGGTTTTTCCAGTCCTAGACAGGCATAGAACCAGGAGAGGGTAGCATAAGGGGGGTGGGGCAGTTTGAACCAGGGAGGCTTCCCATTTCACCTGTGCCTTAAAAGGGTTGATCTTCGCTAGCTTAGAGCAATGTCTTTGCACTGTTTATACCTCCCACTCCCAAGTCACCACACAGCACACATTGTCTGCCTGTGTGCAACTTAAGGCTGGCGCACGTTGTTATCTTTTGTCACCCCCATCTCCATGCAGGAGGGCTGTTCTGCTACTTTGCGTAGAAAAAACATGTCTGTGGTTCTGGCATTGCTGTGGCTTTTTTTTTTAAAAAAAAGGTGATTAGAAATGTACTTGTTCATGTGCGGGTTGGTTCTGAATTAACTGGATTCAGGCAAAAATTGTGGCAAACCACTGGGGCACAGAGGGCTAGCTATATGACAACAATTGTAGATGAACTAATGGCATATAATGTCTACCTTATTAGCTATTAGGGCTGTGACAGTTCTCCCTGTGTAAAAGTGCTTGTGGAACAGGATGGCTTTTAATCATGTACTAGTCTTGTTGGGGTTTCTAAGCCCTGACACATTTTCAATATAGATCACGCTTCCCGATACATGGACCGATTGCTGAGTTCTCTACGGGGTAATGAGGACTTTCCTTTGGCGTAGGTTGTTGTTTTTGGTAATGCTCCAATATTAAAAGCTTCGTTTCGTTTTCCTGTTTTTTGCAGTTTGGAGTCACTTTGTGGCTCGTGACTCAAGGCTCGCTACTTTTGCTTTCAGTGACTGCTGTGAATTGGCGTAACTGAACAACTTGGTGTGTGTGGTTTTCCCCCAGCACAGTGTTCCCAGAGAGTTTCCAGCCCAGACTCAAATTTGCTTCCACAGCATATTAGGCATGGGTTTCCCCTATGACAGTAGCAGTATGAGAGGGCTAACAATTACGTTGTACATGTGAAAGGTGGAGAAACCTGTGGCTGAGGAGACTGGGAAGGAAGTTTATCACAATGGTCTGTCCCCATGGTATTCAGCAGGGGTCAGCAAACTTTTTCAGCAGGGGGCCGGTCCCCTGCTGAAAAAGTTTGCTGACCCCTGCTGAATACCATGGGGGGGCAGACTATATTTTGGGAGGGAAACCAAAAACGATGCAAGAGCACCACACGCCCCGGTGGCTGCTTACCTGTGTCTTGCGAGCGGCGGGATGCTGAGTGGCGCGCGAAAGGGCTCCAGAGGGGAGCTGCTTAAAATGGCAGCCGCTCGAGCGCTGCTGCTGCTGGCACCAACAAAGCCCAGCCCCCTTCCTCCTTTAGGCAGGGCGGGGAGAAGCCAGGAGGAGGGAGGAGGCGCTGCTGCCGTGTGAGGGAGAGGGAGGGTTGACAGAGAGGGAAAGAATGTGCGTGCTGGTGAACCATGCAGCGATTCCTGGACCATCCATGGGCCGGATGGCACTTGGGCCTGATCTGGCCCACGGGCCTTAGTTTGCCTACCCATGGTGTTCAGTCACTGGTACTCCAGGGGCAAACCTGTGGGCAAGATACAGTTGTGAAGCAAGCTAAAGAGCCTGCTTGCTACCCTTTTTGGGTGTCCCCAGTTGTCAAGCTGTGTGTGGTGACTGACAAGGAGGGGCGGGGAGACTGTATATCTAACAAGCATTGAAAGAGCTGAGCCAGAACCGAAACAATTACCACCATTATCTAATATATAATGTATATCTGATGGTATCATATAGAAATGGAATCGGATGACAAGACAGCAGTGGTATAGGTGCAACCGTAACTTGGTTATATCTGCATGTGCCACATTTTTTTTATTTTTATTTTTGCAAACGCGCTCTTTAAAGGCACAGAAGTCATGGGAGGGTAGCAGTGGTATAACAATGTGGATTTGGTTGATCAAGCACAGAAAACCCAAGAGGGTTCTTTCAGTTCTCTTTCACATGTGGCCTTCGTACAATTAATGAGCTGGGTATCACACTTCACACTGAGTGTGTTTTCCTTCACATCATGACGAAAGTACTAAACCTGTCAGAAGCTGAGAAGCACTATAATGGCCCAGAAGTTTTATTTTTCTTCTCCAAGGATCAGGACGTTGGCAGGCTCAGTCTTGATCCTGCAACAACTGAGTGGATTTTACTTCTTTCTTAACCTTGCTTTGGAATCTCTTCTTAATTTGAACATGCTTTTAAAAATTATTAGGTTTTTGTTTTTTTTAACTGATCTCGCCCTGCTTCTGTCAGACCCTACTGCAGCCCCTCTTCCTCCTTGGGAGTAGCTATCTTCCTTCCCCTTTGTCTTGCGGTCATGATTCTCCCTCTAACGCAGAGCTTTCCAAACCATGTGTCGCGACATGTTAGTGTTTTGGCTGTAGTGTGTAGGTGTGTCGTGCAAATGCTCCTGGCATTGGAAAACAGTTAGTTTAAACTCTGGTTTGCTAGTAAAACTGAATTACTGTGTCGCGAAATGATGCATGCCTAAAAAAAAAAAGTGTATCACCAATATGAAAACTTTGGAAAGCTCTGCTCTAATGCTTTTATTCTCTTCATCTTTGCAGGGCGTTGAACTAGATGACCCTCGAGGTCCCTTCCAACTCTACAATTCTATGATCTTGTCAATTCCCTGTTCTCCAGCCTTCACATCAAGAGGCAAGGTGGGAACACTACTGTTGCTATTGTAGGCCTTGCTTAATAGAGTGCATGGGATTTGCTTCTGTAATTGGTGGGTGGTTGGCTTTGTAGAGGCAAGGAGAACGAGGTGATGGTGATGCATGATGCGTGAAAAAAAGGTGACATGCTGAAGTTAGCAGCACGTGGTCAAATCAGCTGGTGATCTGCAAAAGTGACTATCAAAAGTATGAGCTGTATGTCCTTTTCAGTTCCTGTGCCATTCCTGTTGGATTCTGGGGCATTTTTTAATATGGTGAAATTGCATACAGTAAAAGGTCTGTCTTTCCAAGGCAGGCAATAGGTCCTTTACGAGATGTTTCCTTGTCCCGCCCCCCACCCAATGAAGTTAGAATCTGACATTTTTTAAAAAGGGCAGGGGGAGGTGGGCAGAGCATTCCTACAGAGCTGAAAGGGGAGGAAAAGGCTATGGCATTGGAAGTACCACTTTCTAAGCCTTTGTCAGGTTCATAACTTGCTAGGGAAAAACTTGGAATAAGTCTCTTTTTGCATTCCATCAAATGATGCCTGTTCCTGGAGTAGTGTAGTTTCTCTCTCATATTGGGGCATTTCAGAGCAAAGAGAAGGCTTGGAGTTTCCATCTCTTCCATCCATACCTACACAGATCTATTATGTGGTCTTCAATCATTGCTTTCAGAGCAGTATATATGTAACATAAAATAGGATAAATAAAATAAAACATGTATCAAGAAATTGCACCAAGCAGTTAGTAAAATTAGAACAAAATGATCTCAGAAATAGCATTCCTGAGCAAATAAAAAGATGTTTAGCTAAGGCTGGAGTGGGGGTGTGTGAGAATGGCATAAGGCAGACTTCTCTGGGAGTTTTCTGGAGTGCCACAACTCGAAAGGCCTTGCCCACCTCACTTTAGATGGTGAGCATTGAGCAGGGTCTCCAAGGGAAATATAAACAGCCAGGCAGGTCCATGTAGGAACTAGGAATGTGGATAAATTTATTTTGGGGGGGCTGTATGTCATGCACAGCGGAGAGTAAAGTTCAGAGTTCATCTTCTTTTGGGCAGAATGCGTTCACAGCACTGCAGCTAAGCTATGGCATGCAAAGTATGCCTAAAGAAGGCAGCGATTACACTACAGAGAAACATTTGCTTCATTTACCATTTGCAGCCTGTTGATACAGTGGAAGCAGAGGTGTGTCACACTAGTCGGTCATTTCACATTTGTCAGTCCAGCTTGTTCTATCCCAGGCTGCCCTTTGGCATGAAAGGCACTTGCATTTTTAAAATTTCTGAACCAGCGGTAGTATGTCGTGTGCTTCTATGGCCAATAATTGCCCAGTTTGTTCTCTCTCGCTCTCTTAGACAAACACACACACTGTACCTCCTTTTCAGTTACCATTGCATCATCTCCTAGGATTCCAGCCACTGAATCTGGCCTGTCAGGCTTTGGATTCGAACGAGACAGAGCAGAGCTTTGCTTTTATTTAAATAGGCCTTTCCGCGCCCCCCCCCCCCAATCTGTCCTTACTATGCTTGCATTTGTTATTCCTGCTATAAAGTGCACACACCAACTTGAATACCCAACAGCCCAAAATAAACTGCCATGCTTGAGTGCTGCCCAGGGCCGAAATAGAAGCTGGCACTAACTTGTAGTGGTTGGGAAGTCTCACTGCCCAAAATAGCACCCATAGATCCAGTGGTAGAGCTGAGTCTATCATCACACTCTTGTTCTTGTGGGTTAGGTGTCTGACTGTAAGTGAGCTCCCAGGATCCGCAGAAGAATGGGGTTGTTGGAGTAGACCAAACAGCCCATTCCCCCAGCGTTATTCTTCTAACAGCAGCCAAGCCATAAGACCCTGCAAAGTCCGTAACTTTGCTCTGCCCTTCCTCCCATCCTCCCCACTCTGGCACCTGATATTGATGCACACTGCCTTTGTACATGGGTGTTTCATTTAGCTGTCACAGCTTCATAGCTTACGGATAAACTTGACCTCTGTGAATTTGCATGATCCCATTTCTTAAAATCTCAGGGCATTCAAACAACACATGGGAGGAAAAGAAGTGTTGTGGGGCGATGCACACCAACCCTGCTCCCCCCCCCCCAACTTCCTCATTGGTTCTACCTTCAGCCATCATGCGTTGTGTGGGGAAGTCTGAGGGGGGCTTTTTTTGCATGTTTGGCTGAACACACTTCAAATCCTCTCTGATTGGGAACCCTGATAGTGCACAGGGGAGAGGATTCTACTAAGTGTGTTCAGCTGAAAACGTGAAGAATCCTCCTTCGGATTATCAGCTTCTATACGGGCCATAAGGGACGCGGGTGGCGCTGTGGGTTAAACCACTGAGCCTAGGACTTGCCAATCAGAAGGTTGGCGGTTCGAATCCCCGTGACGGGATGAGCTCCCGTTGCTTGGTCCCAGCTCCTGCCAACCTAGCAGTTCGAGAGCACATCAAAGTGCAAGTAGATAAATAGGTACCACTCCGGCGGGAAGGTAAAAGGCGTTTCCGTGCACTGCTCTGGTTTGCCAGAAGCGGCTTAGTCCTGCTGGCCACATGACCGGCTCCCTCGGCCAATAAAGGGAGATGAGCGCCGCAACCCCAGAGTCGGCCATGACTGGACCTAATGGTCAGGGGTCCCTTTACCTTTACCTTTATACAGGCCATAGCTCAGTGGTAGAGCATTATCTTTTCATTTGAAAGGCCTTGGGTTCAATCCCCAGCATCTTGCGGTGGGGCTGGGAAAGTCCCTTGTCTGAAACCCTTGACAGCCCCTGCTGGTTGGTGTAGGCATGACTGAGCCAGTTGGACCAGTGGTCTGACTTTGTGTAAGGCAATGTTCTGTGTTCACTCATTCTCTAGCCAGTGCTCCTGTGAAGGGTAGAGGTGGAGCTGGTGGGGGACAAGGCAGAGCATCTTGACACAAGTGGCTCTGCAGCCTCTCCACACTTTCTTCCTCCATATGTCCTTCAAACGCCCAAGTTAGGCTCTTGTGGTAACGCATTCTGTTAAAGTTGATTATGCGTTTCATGAAGGAGTACTTCTTTTTCAATCCAATCGATCAATGTCAAGATGACATCCCAAGTGTTAGAGACAAAGAGATTTTCCTCCATCTGTTCCCCCTCCACCCCAGTGTTTAGAATTTTGTAAACCTCTTATAATGTCATTGCTAAACTACACTAGTATTAATCAGATTTAAACTCGTATGGATTTTTTTATTTATTTGTACTTGTTCATAATATTGCAAGGGCACAAACCCAATTCCCCTTCATGCCGGATTGCACATAGGTCTCCCTCTGCCCAGACCTGCTGGCCTCTGCCTGTGGGAGCGATGCCAGTGCCACTTTTCTGACACACAGTTCCCGTTTCCTCCTGTTGAACATGGCGAGAAGGTATAGAAGTACAGTGGTACCTCAGGTTACATATGCTTCAGGTTACAGACTCCGCTAACCCAAAAATAGTGCTTCAGGTTAAGAACTTTGCTTCAGGATGAGAACAGAAATCATGCTCCGGTGGCGCGGTGGTAGCAGCAGGAGGCCCCATTAGCTAAAGTGGTGCTTCAGGTTAAGAACAGACCTCTGGAATGAATTAAATACTTAACCCGAGGTACCACTGTACTGTCATCAGGACTCCCGCGGCTAGCAGAGGGACCCAGGATGGGTTGTTGCAGTGAGGGGCTGAGCTCAGTGGTCCTACAGCCACCATGTGATGGCTCTGGGCCCAATTCGGGCCCAGTCACTGCACCAGGTCCAGGCAGCTGCAGTGATTTGCCTGCCCACTTCCCCACATATCTTCCACCCCAGCTGGTGTGTGCAGAAGGCTGCAAATGCAGAGCTGACTCAGCCACTCTGTTAAGTCATCTTGAGCAGCTTCTGAGGTTTGCATAAGAAGAAGCCCTGCTGAATCCAGCCAGTGGCCGATCCAGCCCAGCATTTTGTTCTCATAGTGCCTAGCCAGGTGCCTGTGGGAAACCTTGCAAACAGGACTGAAGCACCAGGTCACTCTCACATCCTAGAGTTTTCAGCAAACTGGTATTTAGAAGCATTACTGCCTCCAACTACGGAGGCAGAACTTGACTTTCTAAGTCACTTCACGAAGGCTCCTTGCTTTGAAAAGTGAGGTATAAGTACCTTGAATGAGGAAACACAATGGGAGAACTATAATTGGTCTCCCGCTGTACGGGGTTCTTTTTGCTAAATGCAACCACAGTGGGGGCGGTAATTTGTTTGGGAAAGTTTTTCCATTCCATAGAACGAACAGTGGGCAAAATTAACAACTTGGCGAGGGTGGTGGTTTAGATCAATAAATGGTGAAAGGAAAGCTTAACGCGTATCCTTGCCCAATCATATTAGCAGGCTCTCCATGCCTGCATTTATTAAAAACCACACAGGTGTTCCCATTAAGAGATTGCTCATGCGTGAATCTCCGAATGAGAAGTGCTGTTTGTCCTTCAGTTGCCTTCCTACCCACCCACCCCAAGCTAAAAAGCCTCGAAACGCTTCATTTGCTGCCCACTAGCTCAGGGGTCCCCAGTCTAGCCAAGGGCCATACTGGGACATCTAAAAATCTGTTACAAGCCACCGCAAAGTGCCCATTTCATAGAATAAAAGTTGGTGACGAACCCCCCCCCCAACAGGATAAACACATACATCCCATAACAATAGAAAACAGACCAAAAAAAGCAGGCAGACAAACAAGGCAAAAAATAAATCCTCAATTAAGACTAAATATAAAATTGGGCAGGACAGGGGTCATTGGCAAGCAATATGGGGGTGTCTGATAGTGCTGTAGTGCCCACAAGTGCCACACTGGGGATCCCAGCACTGGGTCCTACATCTCGGTGTTCCTTCCTGTTTCCTGAGTGCTGGAGAAAGAAGAACATCCCCATTGTTGGAATCAGTACAATAACAATCCCACCAGTCAGGCAGACACTTCTGCCACAAGCAAATTCAGTGGGTTCCTCTGGGGCCACCAAAAAAAAAGTGCTTAGAGCGTGGTGATTCTGGCCCATGAGCCCATTCTAAGAGAAGGTGCCCTTACTGTTCTTTTAGATGTCAATACAGATTTTTAAAAACACAAATCAAGGTGAATGCAAACCGCCAGCTTCATTTGCCTTAGCTTCAGAGTTCAGGCCCGGAATATGTAAAGTCGTAACCAACAGAGTGCCTATGTTTGAGCATAGTCATACACACATATACCGCTTGCCCCATTGAGGAGTCGCAATAACCTTCCACAGATCTCAAATTAGGGAGAAGGAATTTTCACACCAGAGGCCTCATAGCTTCAAAGTAGCCTTGATTCCTGCATTCCAGGGGGTTGGACTAGATGATCCTCAGCATGCCTTCCAACTCTATGACCTCTGACTCACTTCATTTTCAGAATTTGAGTGAGCCATTCACTTTTTGAGGAAGTTATTTCTCATCCGCTGGTTTCCCTCTGCAGCTCTCTCCAAACTTGCAAGCAGTGGGTGTTTCCACTTCCTTTCCACCAGCTTTCAATGGCGGAAGGATTTTTCCAGCAAAACGTGTTAAGAAACACCAGCAATTATCTTTTCTGGCTGAAAAAAACTAATTCATGGCCCTTGTCAGATATTTCCCTGCCCCCCTCATTGCCAGTGCTCAATATGAGGCGATGTGAAGTAATAATAAAGGAGGTGTATCTGGTATGTGCAAAGTGCTTTTAATCACCACAGCCTGCTTCCTCCCCTTAGGCACAACCTAATTCTACATCCTGACCTACCTCGCAGAGTCACCTGCCATATGCTACTGGACAGTACCTCCTAGCTTCAACAATCTACCCACTGAGGGCCAAGCTACACATTACACTGTTCAAAAGTGGGCGTAATGCTGCTGCTTTTACTTGGAAGGAAGTGCATTTGAAGTGTGGGGCCCTGATTGGGAGATGTGCAGGCAGCTGGTTCTCTGCCATAAAGTCATGTCTCCTGGCTGCTTTTGTGCCCAAAGGTGGTGTTTGGAAGTTTGAGCCTCAGGAGACCTAAGTAGAGCTTCTGGCCAGGGTTGTGTCACAGCACTTCATACTGTGTTGAGGTCCATTGTCACACTGATCACAATAAACCTGGTAGGAGGTTTATAATTCCCATTTTACAGATAAGGAAGGAGGCAGGAAGGTCTTGTTTCCCAAGCCACTTTATAAGATTGCTCATTTTAAACCTGGAATTTCATTGCTGCAATCCTCTTAATTAAAGCTTGCCCTACTACACCCATACCCTCTCTCATCTCTCCTTAATCCGTCCTTTGGAAAGAAGGGTAGAGGATTAAGATACAACAAACAATGCAGTATTCCCAAAAGAATCCAGGTATGTCAAGTGTTTGCTCTTGAGTTATATGAGGAAGACGTCCTTGGTGTGTCTGGCTTTGTTACTATAATTGGAAGTTCTCCAGCCACTGGAGGTTGGGGCGATTTGGGTATATGCAGCCTTAAGTGTGCATGAGTCAGAAGCTCTATGCATGGCGTCCCCTTCTTTTAACAAGTCTCCCTCCCTGTCAGGTCCTGAGCCATGGCGGTGTGGATTCAAGCGCAGCAACTCCAGGGGGATGCCCTGCGGCAGATGCAGGACCTGTATGGGCAGCACTTTCCCATCGAGGTCCGCCATTACCTCTCGCAGTGGATTGAGAGCCAGCCATGGTAGGTGAGCGCAAGGCCTGGCTGTCCAGGACCATCTTCAGCCTTGCAGAGGAATGTGGTGGGATGGGATACTGGCAAATCTTCTGGTTCACACCACTGACAGCATGCATTGGCTTTTCCAGGCCTGATCCATGTGCCTCCCAAGTGTCCCTGATTCATCCTAACTTATAAAGCACTTACACATTCTTCCTTCAGTCACCAGTTTTTCCTTCTGGATCTGCTTGAAGTAGTATCTCACAGCTACTGGAGATGGTTGGTGGTACCCACCTAACCAGTAATTGCCACTGGTACCCTTCTTTCAATTTTCCTGTTCTTTTTGGAAGTGTGCCATTGTTGGGCAGTCAGCTTCCTTTCAGAACATTTCTTTACCGTAGAGCAGCCCTTTTGAGTGCCATAGAGCCAGGCTTCTCCAGACATCCTTTTTCTTGTGTGTTCATGGTGCTCATGATATTTTTAGGGCAGTTGTACATAACCCCGCTTTCTATTACTGTTTGTGCCTCCAACAAAAGTTTTGGTGCAGACATCCTGCTTCGTTTTCCAATCAGTGCATGACCTGTGACCTCCTGCTGAAGTCCTGTTATTAGACCAAAGGTGTTCCAGTTTATTTTATTGTCCTGATTTTGCAGTTCTGTGGCACAAAGGTGGCCCTCTAGACAGCAATAATGTGGTAACAGTGGAGGAGCATTAGGGAACAACTAATAAAGCAGAATTCTGTGTGGACGGTCCAGTATAAATTCTTCACTGGTGCAGTATTATAGCATGCATGACATATTACAGTACACACACACAAAACCAAACACAAACACCCCATGAATTTGGAGGGGCCCTAACTGATAACTGCTACTTCCACCTTGCAATCACAGCTTTCCATAGCATACAGTTTCCTTTCACTGCTTCTGAGTTTTTGTTTCTTCATCCACTTAGCATGTGAACAGACATAGCATTATTTCAGTGGGTGAGACTGCTCCAGAAAGGCACTTGCCATCTCTGTTCCAACAATTTTCTCTCTATGGATGGAGCTGATTGGCTAGTGCGTGTCGCATCACCAACCCACTTCTTCCCCACCGCAGAGCAGTTCTGCAACTATTTTAAAATGGATTGTGCCTTTTGTTTTAAGTGATGGATATTTCAGTTAAACAGATGTACGTGCAGCATTTAAAAATAATAGGTTAAAAAAAACCCCAGACAGTCTGGTGGAAGTATTCAAGGAAGGATAAGACTGATGGCTAAACCAGCATTCGGTTTGATTACATATATATACACGTGCCATGTACGTTTCAAAGGTGGGAGGATGCTGAGAATGCCTTGCAGGAGGAAAAAAAACTTACTGTTCCTTTTTAGTGTTGTATTTTTATATACATTGAATTGGCCTTTTTGTCAGAGTGATAAGTGAAAAAACTTTTATACGCTTTCAAATCCCTTCCTTTGAATGACACATGAATTTAAATTTAGTTCAGTGATTGTAAGAAATCAAGGGGGGTTGTAGTTCTTTAAAATAAATTAACACAATGTACAAAGTCATGGGTTTGCTGCATGACAGAGGATTTCTGTCCTCGTTTGAAAGTCTGGAGGTGGTGCAGTTTTCTCCCTCTTACCTTCTAATGTTCTGGATAAGGCAGATAATGGTTGGCAGGTGTGCAAGGGCTGCTCTCTGGAATTGACAAATGTACACCTGGTCTGTACCCCAACTGGTAGGGACTCCATCGACCCAGAAAATCCCCAGGAGGGTGCCAAGGCCACACAGTTGTTGGAGGGACTGATCCAGGAGCTGCAGAAGAAAGCGGACCACCAGGTGGGCGAGGACGGCTTCCTTCTGAAGATCAAACTGGGCCACTATGCCACCCAGCTGCAGGTGGGTTCCAGTGGCTTGTCTGTCAGTGATGGGAAGGGAGGGCAATATGGAGGGCAGCAGAGAGAAGCTGCACTCAGGATTCCTCATGGGTGAATGGGCTGTGGAGCTACTAGCTGATTCTCCCGACTTGTTCTACCCTCAACACTTCAGCCTGTTTGTTCTCTCTCTCTCTCTTTACAGAATACGTACGAACGCTGCCCTATGGAACTGGTGCGCTACATCAGACACATCCTTTACCACGAGCAGCGCCTGGTGCGAGAGGCTACAGATGTGAGTAGGATGAAGGGCTGCATCCAATGCTCTTCTACTCAGGGCAGATGAATAACTTAAGTTCATTGTTTTCAAAGGGTGTGCTCTGAGTAGAGCTAAGTTGTGTGTTGCAGCTCATAGTCTTAGGAAGGGTGCCTGTTTCCCATGCCCTGGTCTAGCAGTTCTGCTCTGCCTGCAGCAATAACGTTCTCTCCTTTCACCTGTAGAGTCCCTCGCCAGCTAGCAATCTGGCTGATGCCCTGTCTCAGAAGCACCTGCAGATCAACCAGACCTTTGAGGAGCTGCGCCTTGTTACTCAGGACACTGAGAACCAGCTGAAGAGGCTTCAGCAGACGCAGGAGTACTTCATCATCCAGTACCAAGAAAGCCATCGCGTACAAGGTGTGTGTATGTGGAAGAGGAGGCAAGTAGTAGGTCAGTCTGCAAAGCTGAAGGAAGGGCTATAATGTGCTCTACATGCAGAATGTCCCAGGTTCAATCCCTGGCATCTCAAGACGTTCTGAAACACTGGAGAACCACTAGCAGTAGAAGGGTGGCCAGTCCAGAGCTAGATGGACCAACAATCTGACTTGGGATCTTCTTCTTCTTCTTCTTTGGCAATCACTTGTAGCCGAGTAAGATTGTCTTCCATGAACATGGTTTTAACAGTGAGTCCGTAAGGGGTTATGGAGGCCAATTCTGGATCCACACGTCCTTCCACAGTGGGGACATAGGTTTCCGGGTGGGAGTTGATCATGGTGAGGGTTTGCCAATTGTGCCTTCCTCTTAGCACAATTCTTCCTTTCGTCCTGAGTTCGAGCATCTTCAAAACCCATGACACCTTTGGTAAAGGCTGTTCTCCAGTTGGAGCGCTCGCAGGCCAGTGTTTCCCAGTTGTTGGTGTTTATACTACATTTTAAAATATTTGCCTTGAGAGAGTCTTTGAACCTCTTTTTGTTGTCCACCAGCATTACACTTTCCATTTTTAAGTTTGGAATAGAGTTGTTGCTTTGGAAGACAATAATTAGGCATCTGCACAACATGACCCATGTCCCTAGGCTTATCTGTTGAAGCACAGAGCGATAAGCAGCTGAGGAGACAGGGCTGGATTTGAGGCACCCCTGTCTTGCAGGTGGAGATTATGAGGGAAACCCAGGAGGGAGCCTAATACTCTCTCCTTTCCCTTCCCTTCCCAGCCCAGTTTGCTCAGCTAGCCCAGCTAAGCCCCCAGGAGCGCATGGCCCGCGAGTCTACTTTGCAGCAGAGGAAGGTATCGCTGGAAGCTTGGCTGACCCGTGAGGCACAGACACTGCAGCAGTATCGTGTGGTGAGCTCTACCATCTCCAGCCCTGGCCAAACTTCCTTCCGTATACACCAGCGTTGGGCTAGGCAACTCCTCTATGCATGTCTCCTCTTCTTCCTTCACAGGAACTGGCTGAAAAGCACCAGCAGACGCTTTCACTGCTCCGCAAGCAGCAAACCATTATCCTGGACGACGAGCTGATTCAGTGGAAGAGGCGGCAACAGTTAGCGGGGAATGGTGGGCCCCCTGAGGGCCCTTTGGATGGCTTGCAGGCTTGGTAGGTGATGGGTGAGGAGGGAACCAGGGTGGTGGTGAGAGGGGGAACGGGGCTTCCCAACTAGTTCCACACTTAATGAATGGTAATGGGGGAAGGCTTAATGTAAGATGCACGCTTTTTAAGTGTTGGGGGTCCAGTCTTAGGAATGCGAAATAAAAACTGAGAAGAGAGCTTCCTCGCGCTGTGTGCAGAGGGCACTGAGTTACAGTAGAGAAGGCTGTGAGAAGTCTGTACCAGAATAAATCAAAACTCAGTCCCAAGGTAATACAAATCATTTAACATTGAAACTTGAAATATGCAAATTTTAAGTAAGACAAGGCAAAGTGCTATGCTGCCCCCTGATCTTTGCCACCTCTCTGGCATCTTGAGAGTTACCTGACACATGTTTCGAGAAAATCTTTAAAGCCACAAGGGCTGGAAACATACTTTTAAAAAATAAGGAAGGTAAGCTTTCACTGCTCCGCAAGCAGTGAAATTTATATGCTGTAGCTTTTCTGTGCTTCTGCAGAATTGCTGCATATACACAGCCCTGATCAGAGCCTGAATATGTGCAGCTCTGAGATAAGGGTGGGAGGCTTACAGGTTACATCAGATGGAGTGATTTCAGGCAGAGCAGAACTACTGCATGTGCTATTTAGCAAACCAAGAACTGGATCTAGGGTGAAGGGCATGGCCAATTCTGGAAATGTACGTAGGCAGGCATTGGACTAACTCTCTTTTCCCTTGTGAGGCTTTCCCCTCAGTAAGCTGCCCCCTCCTAATGCCACAGTGGAGGAATTTCAAGGAACGAGGTGGAATATGTAATCCCTTCCCAAGTGACTCTCTACATACATCAAGCAGATTGCAGCATTAATCATTTAAAAACAAAAAACAACAGCAACAACAGTGTTGCAGCACTGGCAGCAGCAACAAAATGCTGCCAGCTGCTCCGCTCTAGATACTGAATCTGTAATAACTCTGACCAGGGACTGAACTTTCACATCCTGATAGTGACAAGAGCTACTACTTACATTGCAAACAAAGCACTTTTTTCAGCTGAACTTGGGAGCTGCTAAATGCAGCCCCTTATTCCCCAAACAGTTCTTGGAGAGTTCTGCAAGATTACAACTTCTTCCCCGCTTTGTGTTCAGCATATGCATGAGACAGCAGGTTGAGATCATCTGGAGACATGTTGGTGCTGTTCATATGCTAATGACATCCATCTCTGTCCTGTTGCATCCTGCAGTCTCCGTTTCAGCTTAAATGTATTGTTGAAACAGCAGTTAGCCTTTACAAGGCCACACAACAACAAAAATCGGAGTCATGTCATATCAAATAAACGCCACAATTAAAATTGCATACAGTTAATAAAACAATTTGGCATCACACGTTTATATGGATATCATTTGAAATCCAATACATCATTAGTGCAAAGCTTACTCAATATGCTACCATAGTTGAAAGCTGGATACGAGTGAACTGGCTGAAACCTAAATCCAGACAAGATCAAAGTAATTATCGGTGGGGCTGTGACTTTGTTGGGGAAGGAGCATGAAATAGTTGCACTTTTTCACTGGGTAATCTGTTCCCTTCCCAGTGTCATTGGACTGCAACTCCTATCAGCTCCAGACAGCATAGCCAGTGGTCAAGGATGATGGGAGTTGTAGCTGAACCACAGATTACTTACACACACACACAATCTCAAGTTACTGCAGCACTATGAGTGTTGTTCAACCAAGTCCTACTCTGAGTAGACTCATGGAAATTAATGAACCTAAGTGAGTCATGTCCATTAACTTCAACGGCTCTACTCTACATAGTGTTGAATACACAATACTCACTTTCAAACTCTTGGGAGCCTGCGTGTGCTGAAGTGTCCTAAGCAAAGTTGTAGGTAGGATGTATTGGCAGTGATCTAGTCATCATCTGAAAGTGCTATCTGTATTGAGCCATCTCACTTTGGCGTCCTGCCCGCCCCCATGCTCCTAAACCAGCTTCTTTCTGTAGGTGTGAGAAGCTAGCTGAGATCATCTGCCAGAACCGCCAGCAAGTGCGCCGTGTTGAACATCTGTGTCAGCAGCTGCCCATTCCAGGGCCCAATGAAGAGATGTTGGCTGACATCAACACCACCGTCACAGACATAATTTCTGCCCTGGTGACTAGGTAATTTGAGCGGTGGTGGGGACATTCTTGCTGAAAGAAGGGAAAATCTTGTGTGGGAGAGTCATCGAGGTGTGGATGGACTTTTGTTTGTTCAGAGATGTGGGGTCATTCCATCTAATAATACACAGCAAGGTATATTAATTGAAATTTATTAAAAATAGAATGGTACATACACCAAATCATTAGCATTCAGAGCCAGTTGCATAAGCAATATTTGTTCGTTTTAAACACATGTATAGCCCACCTTTCCACAGTAGAGTGCAAGGTAGCTAATGTAAATATATAAACTGATTCAGATAAAAAAAAATAAAAGCATGCTATAAACACATTTTAAAAATTGAAATAGATTGCAGTGACAACTAAAAATGTAAGCAGCAGCATATAATAATGCATGTATGCAGTTTATACACTCACATAAAAAAACAGTGCAAGCCAGGTAGTTCAAACCAGTGTAAGTTTTCTCTTGTATTTATGGTGTGGGTTCCTCATTTTATTTGCAAAAAAAGTATGGTGTTCACTGTGGGGTTGAACTTCAAAGATTTACTTTCCTGTATCATGCAAATGTGCCCTCACTGCTTTCTCCACATCTGGAATTTCAACTTTTTACAACCATGGTGGAAAGAGCATGGACATAAATGAGTAATAGCAGCTAGTTAGTTATGTAAATTATTTCCTTTGCAACGTCCTGTGTTGTTGTTTTTTGCAAATAGTTCCTCCTTCTATTTCTCCCTTCCCTCCACAGTACTTTTATTATTGAAAAGCAGCCTCCCCAGGTGCTGAAGACCCAGACCAAGTTTGCAGCCACAGTGAGGCTGCTGGTTGGTGGAAAGTTAAATGTCCACATGAACCCCCCACAGGTGAAGGCCACCATCATCAGCGAGCAGCAGGCCAAAGCCCTCCTGAAGAATGAGAGCACCCGCAAGTATGTGTAACCCTCACACACCTCATGTGGCAGGGACTCTATGAGTGATTTCGTAAGGTTAGGACAGACACTTGTGCTCATCCTAAGCCATGGAACGCAAAGGATGGGAGCTGTATTTCAGTACATAGTTTAATTCTGTTAAGAAAGTAGAAGAAGTGGAAAATACTAGCAGGGGAGTTAGTAGAGGGAATGTTTTCACTCTTTCCATACAAGAGCAGGGGGCGGGGATTCTTAGGCCATAGCCCTTGCCAGACTTGCTCCATATCCTTGAAAGGTGTTTTTTGCCTGGCTGGAACATGTCATTGTACAGTGGTACCTCCGGTTAAGAACTTAATTCGTTCTGGAACTCCGTTCTTTACCTGAAACTGTCCTTAACCTGAGGTACCACTTTAGCTAATGGGGCCTCCCGCTGCCGCTGCGCTGCCACCGTCCGATTTCTGTTCTTATCCTGAAGCAAAGTTCTTAACCCGAGGTACTATTTCTGGGTTAGCAGAGTCTGTAACCTGAAGCGTCTGTAACCTGAGGTGCCACTGTACTCTGATAATGCATCTTGCTTGCCTGGAGGGAGGCTAGAGAGGAGAGTATGTGCAGAAACTAGGCAGAATTTGCATTTTTTGCTCTGCCCATTTTTGCATCTGGCCCTGCCCACCACTGCCATGTGGCCCCCAGAACGTTGCCCAGAAGGAAATATGGTCCCTGGGCTGAAAAAAATATATGGTGTCTCACACCTGTGCAAGGCATTCAGGAACTAAGAGATGTAAATCTTGGCCAGTGTGTGAAATTCATCCTACCCTTCAGTCCATAGAACTTTAGAAGCTTCCTTTCCTGACTGCTCCCTTGCTGCTATCATGGCTCTTGGGCTCTTATGTGTTGTTTTTCTTCCAATCAAGCAGACTTTTCACATCCTCTACCATTGTATTGCAAAAGGTCTTCTTGGAAGCTGACATGCTGGCAAACTTTTTTGTGGCATGGCAGCAGCCTTCCCCCAAGGCTGGCAATGAAAGGTCACAAGGCAAAAAGTGACAATTCCATTTAAGCCCGTTCAGAATCCATGTCTACGATTGCATGCATTCATTTGTAAAATTTAGCCTAATGTTAAAAAATAAATAAATCAAGATTTTTGTTGAAGCAATGAAAAAGCAATGTCAGCAGGGTCGTCCTGGTGCAGAAATGTAGATGGGAAGATATTAAACTGCCTGTGGTGCACTGGCTTATATTCTGCTAACTACCATTGGTTTATTTTGGCAGTGAGAGCAGCGGCGATATCTTGAACAACTGCTGTGTGATGGAATATCACCAGGCGACTGGTACTCTGAGCGCTCATTTCCGCAACATGGTAAGACAAAGATGCCAGCACTGATTCCCACCCACCCCGCTTTTATTTTTCCTACCAAGGGTCTGTTATTAATCCTCCTGATTCGGAGAGAGGAAAAATGAGCCATATATGGAGCCAAAAGCCAGGGCCAAGATGGAGCCTTGAATGGGGGGACTCCCTTGTACCTGTCCTCCCTGTCCCTGCTCTCTGGTTTTCAGGCCTTTTGCCAGTGTTATAAAGTGGCCCCATCCAATTTCCACTTCTAATGTGACGAGCTTTGGTAAAAATGCCAAAATCTGCACCTGAAACTCTCCAGGTAGACTGAAATACGCTGTGCGTATTTCCCTCCACTAATATGCCTCAATATATGGCATAGCTCTCTCGTACCACTATCTGCAAGCGATGGCTATCACTTCTAGGGCCTTGACAGCCTGTGCTCTGTTTTTCTCCACCTCTCCCCGCTGCTGTGCTTGCCTCTCCCACGGCACCTCTCCACAGTCCTTGAAGCGGATCAAGCGCTCCGACCGACGCGGCGCCGAGTCAGTGACCGAGGAGAAGTTCACCATCCTCTTTGAATCCCAGTTCAGCGTTGGCGGCAACGAGTTGGTCTTCCAGGTGAAGACGCTGTCCCTGCCCGTGGTGGTGATTGTGCACGGCAGCCAGGACAACAACGCCACGGCCACGGTGCTGTGGGACAATGCTTTTGCAGAGCCGGGCCGTGTGCCCTTCGCCGTGCCCGACAAGGTGATGTGGTCGCAGCTGTGCGAGGCCCTCAACATGAAGTTCAAATCGGAGGTCCAGAGCAGCCGAGGTCTCACCAAGGAAAACCTGCTCTTCTTGGCCCAGAAACTGTTCAATAGCAACATGAACCTCTTAGAAGACTACAACAGCATGGCTGTTTCCTGGGCCCAGTTCAACAGGGTAAGGGTGTGTGAGTGTGCGCTCTACAGTCATACCTTGGGAGTCGAACGGAATCCGTTCTAGAAGTCCGTTCGACTTCTAAAACATTCAAAAACCAAATCACAGCTTCTGATTGGCTGCAGGAAGCTCCTGCAGCCAATCAGAAGCTGCGGAAGCCCTGTCAGAGGTTCAGGTTCCAAAAGAACGTTCGCAAACTGGAACCATCACTTCGGGGTTGCAGCATTCAGGAGCCAAAACGTACAAGTTCCAAGGCGTTCGACAACCAAGGTACGACTGTAGTTGGGAATTGGTTAGTAACTAGACTTGCCGGATAACCATGTTGAGGATAGGGCGCAAGGTACCATGGCCTATAGGCCTTCTCCCATCACCGCAGCTCACCCCACCCCACCTGGACTTATATTTCATTCCATATCTATGTCTCTTTTTCTCACTTCTTCCCCTCCCTGCTGTCTGAAACACTTCATTCTGGTGCAGGAGGAAGGAAAGCTTGGGATGGCAACAGTACCATTTAGGGCCAGCCCTGTTAGGGGCAGCCAGTTTTGCGATCCAATCAGTAAGGGAGAAATGGAAAGAACACATCTCTCTACATGAACCCAGACAATAGGCATGTGCCAATATTCATTTACAGTCATACCTCGTGTTACGTTTGCTTCACGTTGCAGCTTTTCAGGTTGCAAACGGGGCAAACCCGGAAGTGTTTACTTTCGGGTTCGCCGCATGTGCAGAAGTGATCTGCGCGCTTCGCGCATGCGTAGTAGCAGCGCTCACGGACTTTTCGTGGTGCGGCACCCCGAAAACGGATCACGTTCGTAAGTAGAGGTACACTGTACTGGCATTTGTGTCAAGCAACCTTCCTCAGTCTGGGGATGATGGGAGTGGTAGTCTAAAACATCAAGAAGGCACCAGTTTGGGAAAGGCTTGTATAAAACTAGGCCTTTGGTGTATTAAAAAACTTCAATCCAGCTAACTGCTTTACCTTGAACCAGCTTATTAACAAATACACATTGTGGTATCTTTATACAGATTCCACAATTCACTCTAGGCATATATGTAGGTAGGGCTTTCTGTGCACACACATAAAGCGTACCAAAGGTTTTTGGGGACTTCTGATCCTGGATCCTGGTCAGAAGTCTTTAGGACATTCTCTGGGCCACGCTAGGATGTTTCCTCACTTGCTCTGTGTGTAAACTGACTTGACTTGAGATAGTAGTTTAGAAGGCAATTAATAAAATAAATATATATATATATATTTAAAAAACCCACAAAAACAAATTTGGTCAAAAAGAATCCTGCTCAGCCTTGGGTTCCCTTGGTAACACAGGGCAAGTCATTCTTTCTCTGTCCCTAATCTGTGAAAGGAGCTCATGAGAACCTTTTGGGTGAAAAAATGAGTTGAGATTGCATTGTCTTTTGACAATGAAGTGCTATAGTGACAGCTGGTCATCATCAAGGCACATACCAAAGACAAAAGTGTCTCTCAACTGATGGCTAGTTCTCCCCATAACTTGTGATAGTGGCAAGTCTTATTTGGATAAGGATTTACTTTACTTTATGTAAACCATTAGTTTAGGATCCAAGGAAACCTAAAAAGCTTCCAGCTGTTTTACAAGACCCCAGGGTGACTGAGAAACAGGCAGGAATGTTGATTGTTCTTTCTCTTTAACCAGGAGAACCTCCCAGGACGAAATTACACATTCTGGCAGTGGTTTGATGGGGTGATGGAAGTCCTGAAGAAACACTTGAAACCTCACTGGAATGATGGGTGAGATTCCCCCATCCTTTTGCTGCCTTTACTGGCTTTTACAGGCTGCAATAGCCACATCTTACCTTTTTGTAGTCTGACTTCTCTCTCTCTCTCTCTCTCTCTCTCTCTCTCTCTTTCTCCTCTCTCTCCAGGGCTATTCTAGGTTTTGTCAACAAGCAGCAAGCCCACAACCTGCTAATCAACAAGCCAGATGGAACTTTCCTTTTGAGGTTTAGTGACTCTGAGATTGGAGGTATCACAATCGCCTGGAGGTTTGACAACAGTGAGTTCAGTTTTTTGGCAGAAGAAATACTGCATTTTGTCCTTGCCTGCTCTGAGAGTATTGAATCAAAAAATCGTTGCAAACAACAGTTAACTGTTTACCATTAACAGCACACTATTATTGTCTCTGGGGTTCTAGGTAACATTGGCTAATATAGCTTTAAGTTTATAGCTGTAGTTTATTGCATTCCATTTGTCATGTTGTGCATTAACTTGGCCCTTCTCGGTCAGAATTGCTGGCTTATAATTGCATCTAGTTTCACTTCCTGTCCTGTATGTTCCTATTAGTTGGGTTAGAAGCGACTATGTTATGTGTGAAATCTTATTTACTTTCTTTGCTATTTATATTTGTATTCTGCCGTTCATCGAATTGAGCCAGGGCAGGTTACATAAAATACCACAATTTAAAACAAGATACAATTCATTATAACCACGTGTTAAAACCACAAAACTAAACAAAATCACAAGCACTGCAAAACAAGAGTGCAGCAATTCAGCAGGATGGGGTGGGGAGGAATCCACTCACTTAAAAGCCTGGGTAAAGTGATGCAGCTTGACCTCAGATCAAAAACTGTACAACAGTAATGCAAGATGCACCGGGGGGGGGCATTCCATAACTTGGGGGACACCACAGAAAAGGCCCTCTCACATGCCCAAACCACACAAAGTGGTGTTGTTGCTTACAGAGTCTCCCCTGTCAATGTTAACATCTCAACAGATTGATATAAGAGGAGGTGGTTCTTCAGGTATTTGTGGCCCAAGTCATTTTGGGTTTTTTACGTCAATACCAACACTTTAAATTGGGCTTGGTAGGGAGCTGGTAACCATTGTAGGTTCTTTCAAGACTGGTGTAATATGAGTCTGACTAGAAGCTTAGCTGCTGTGTTATGCACCACTTGTAGCTACTGAACCATCATCAAGGGCTGCACCATATAGAGTGCACTGTAGTAGTCTAATTTGTAAGCTACAGAGCATGCATCACTGTGGCTGACTTACCTATATCAGGAAGGCCAGTAGCTGAGGGACCAGGCAGATCTGGAAATAGGCACTCATACCTGATTTGTGGAGGCAGTGATGTTTTGTAGTACAGTAGTCATAAATGTGTCTATTTATTTATAAGATTTCTAACCTGCCCTTCACCATAAGGTCCCAGGGCAGCTCACCACAATATAATATATGATTATATAAAAAAGATGAAACCATTACAATTATAAGACAAGTGAAATGGTTACAGATAGTATGAAGCAGTATAGAGTCAGCAAAAGAGGAGGTCCCACAGAATAAACTTACCTAGAGTGTCACAGGCCAGGGTGAAAAGGTGCCTCTTCAGCATATGGTGAAAGCTATACAGATGCACCTCTGTGGGAAGGGAACTCCGCAAAGGAGCTGCCATACAGAAAGCCCTCTGTCAGGCTTCCTCTCCCTGCAATTCTGCGTAGGTGTTTTGCTTTTATTTGGGGATTTGTCTCTATTTCTGTTTGGTCAGCAAGCTGCTTGTTTTGTTTCCGCTGCTGAGTTATGATGCTCTTGGGTCTTACAGCTGATAGAATGTTCTGGAACCTGATGCCCTTCACCACTCGTGACTTCTCCATCCGCACCCTGGCAGACCGTCTCGGGGACCTCCCGTACCTCCTCTATGTGTATCCTGACCGTCCCAAGGAAGAGGTCTTCTCCAAATACTACATGCCAGTCCTTTGTAGGTTTTGCAGCACCAAGAGAAAACTGACCTGATCTCTTCAGGCATGGTCTATTCCCATTCTCACATCTAATCACAGACAGACTTCTTCCTCATGCCTCTGGGAAGGGAGCCTAAGCAATGGTTACATTCAGCTGCAAGTCTCTCGTTTTCCCCCGCTCTGGAATTTCTGTGATCTGTGTTGCACTGTTGTATGTGCAACATTTTTTTCTTTAGGGCAGCCTTTCTCAACCTTGGGTCCCCAGATGTTGCTGGACTACAAGTACCATCATCCCTGCTAGCTAGGGATGATGGGAGTTGTAGTCCAGCAACACCTGGGAACCCGAGGTTGAGAGAGGCTACTTTAGGGGGATATATAGAAATGACTGTAATGTTTAGCCAGGTACATAGCATAGATCAGAAATGGCTCTGAGAAGAAGCAAAAGGAAAGGGAGAGGAAAGTGGGTGGCGCTAGACTTGGATTGTGTAGAGGCTGAGAATATGGAATTGCAGGTGAAAATGATTTATTGGGAAAATGTCTTTGTGATGAATGGGGCTCCAGGAGAGAACAAGGTGGTTTTTTTTAAAAAAAAAAAAAACATGTTTGGCAGCTGTTCTTGCAGACAGAATAGCCAAGTTGCCAGAAATTATAAAAACAGGATAAAGCATGCTAGGAAGGGATATAGGTGAGGTTTAATCTTTCCTTCTCCATGGGCCAGAGGGGTTTCCCCTGGTATGCATGACCAAGTGTATATTCAGTATATTCCTCCCTGCAAACTGCATTTCCCTTGACTTTGGGATACAAGATGGGTGGCAGCTTAGGGGTAGGGGGTTCATTTTCCTTAGTGGCACCTACCCTATGGAATGCTTTTCCAGCTGAAGTCCATCAGGCACCATCACTATTCAGCTTCAAGCAGTTGATGCAAAACTGTACAATAGTTTTATTTTTTGCTGTCGCAGTTCTGCATTCTATTTACACTGCTGGGATTTGTTAAATGAGTTGTATATCAACACATTTCTTTGAGAGCACATTTACTGTTTGTTAGCCACGTTTAGTCGCTTTGGAGAAATAGGCAGGATAGGAAGACAATAAAACAAACAAAGCAAAACAAGAGGAACAAGGAACACCAAACGGTTTCAAGGTGCTCATCTATTTGCATAGAGCTGATTGGACAAGATGCTTGCATGCCCTATGTCAGGGGTCAGCAACCCATGGCTCCGGAGCCGCATGTGGCTCTTTTACACCTTTGCCACGGCTCCAGGGCGGATACTAGCGAGGGGAGGAGGCGCATTGTGCGCCCCGACACTCCCCACTGTGGCGGGCGCGCTGTACTGGCTGTGACGTTCACATGGGGGCGGTGCGTGCGTTAGTCACGCACCGTCCCGACGTCACCTTCCCGCCTGCCCGCCCACTACATTGTAAGGGGCATGTACGCTGGTCACTGCATTGAAAGGGGGCATGTACGCTGGTCACTGTTTTGAAGGGGAGTGAAGAACACACACACAGAAAAAGGTAACTTGTTAATTTAACGTTTATTTCTATGAGGAGGAGTAATTCTGAGGGGTCAAACAAAGAAATAATAAAAAAGTGACAAAAAAGTTATTTTTATAATGACGAGTTTTGCGGCTCCCAGTTGTTGTTTTTCTTCGGAAACGGGTCCAAGTGGCTCTTTTTGTCTTAAAGGTTGCAGACCCCTGCCCTATGTAATAACTCAGTGCCTCCCCCTTTTTTTTTTCTTTTGCAGCGAAGACGGGGGATGGGTATGTGAAGCCACTGATCAAGCAAGTTGTGCCAGAGTGAGTACCATGGCTCTTTAAATGCTCTTTTTAAAAAATGGAAGGAAATGTAAATATTTGGGGTGGGAAGCAGATGTATTCTCTCCTTTGGCTGCCATCTCTCCTCATTACCCCTCAACCAAGAGTTCTGGCCACTGCCCTATCTCCAAACATGGTTTGATGGCTTCTTCATTCGGATCTGTGTTTTTAGAAACCTGAATGAAGCTAAATGTGTCTGGGTCTGTATCTTGCCAGCACTGTCCCCAAGGGAAGGAATGGGTAGGAAATGGACGTGGTTGAGGACTTGTGGCTTTCACAGACAGAGCTGTCTCTCTCTCCACAAACCCCCTCCCACTGCGATGGGCCTTTCCTTTCCTTTTTATTTTATTTTTCTTTCTTGGCAGCTACGTCTGCTCCCTGTTTGACCAGCTTCCAGTTATGATGCGAGGGAGGGATTTTGACTGCTTCAGATACTGACAGTCATTTGGGGGGTGGGATCCTTAAAACACAGGGCATGGAAGGCATGCAGGGAACAGGGAACGGAACTCCTGGAATGAATGAATGAATGGCAGTGGCAGTGAGAGTATAAGCTAATTGGGACAGATATGCCGTTGCTGCTTAGGGGAGGGCGAAGGATTGCTAGCAAAGCAGGATAGAGGCTGGGAAGACTGCTAAGACAGAGGTGATCCTCATTTGTCTATACAGTGGTACCTCGGGTTACATACGCTTCAGGTTACATACACTTCAGGTTACAGACTCCACTAACCCAGAAATAATACCCCGGGTTAAGAACTTTGCTTCAGGATGAGAACAGAAATTGCGCTGCGGCAGCAGCAGGAGGCCCCATTAGCTAAAGTGGTGCTTCAGGTTAAGAACAGTTTCAGGTTAAGAACGGACCTCTGGAACGAATTAAGTACGTAACCAGAGGTACCACTGTATCAAGTGCCCCTTTGGTGGATTTAGGTGCCCAGTGCAATGGGCAAAAGGTCCCTTGGGTATATGAGATTATTACCAATGCGGACCCCATCTGTTGCAGGTTTGCCACTACATCTGGAGACTCTACAGCTGGAGGGCCTACCTACATGGATCAAGCTTCCTCCCCAGCTGTCTGCCATCAGTCCCTGTACAACACTTATCCAACAAAGTAAGTAAGGCTGGGTGGGTGGGATATTCGGGAGGGGACTCCATTGCAAGTGGGTTCTGCTTCATGGCCCACCCTGCGCTTCAGCAAACCTGTTATTATTCAGCGTTGTATTTAATAACTTGCTTGGTAACTATGGGCAACCAGAAATTCCATACAGGAGAGTGAGTGGGCCGGCAGGTTTCTCTGTTCTTCCTCTCCCAGGCCACTTGGTTTCTATACTGAGAACAGAGGAAGGAAAGCCTGTCCCTCCTTCACCAGTAGAGGGCATTTTAAAAAACAAAACAAAAAAACCCCAGGCTGCTAAGAGGCTAATTGCTAGCCGCAAAAGAAGCCTCTGTCTCCTTGGCCAACATAGAAACATGGGTTACTAACCTCTTACCAAACCAGTAAAATAAAAAAATTGCAGGCTGATAATTTTTGTTGGCTTATTTACAGGGCAGCTGTCATTGATGTAAGTTCTGCATAATCTTCTGTTTAAACCCAAGTTAACTCTTCTGGCTTCCTCCAAACAAGCCAGAGGACTGTAATTTTTTGAGTGTGTTGAAAACTTGGCTTGAAAACCACAGCTCCTTCAAAGATAGTTTCCCGTGTTTTCAGAAGTGGAGAAGCTTCTCTCCCAACCCGTCTCCACAAACACACACACACACACACACACACACACACACCTGCAGCCCACCTGACCTATACTGCTCCTTTCTCTCCATCTCAGCCCTGACTCCGTTCTGGACCCAGAAGCAGACTATGACCTGGATGACTCGATGGACGTGGCGCGGCACGTGGAAGAGCTGCTGAGGCGCCCCATGGACAGCCAGTGGATTTCGCACGCCCAGTCATGACCATGCCGCCTCCCCTGGAGAGACCGTGTAGAGACTGTGAAAAATGGGGGGTGCTGCCGTTAGGGAGTACAGCTGCTGTGTGTGTGTGTGTGTTTGGAGGGGGGTGCATTTCCTCACCCCGTAGTGAGGGCAAGCCTGCCCTGCACTGACTGGGGTGTGGGGGCTGTGCCTGAGAGGCAGTGGACCTTGTCTCTCCCCTTTCGCACGTGCAAAAGGCAGTGGCGTGTATCGCTTGGCTTTCCCATCTGCTCGGCTTTTCTCGGGCCTTCTGCTTTGGCGCACTGCCTCCTCCTGCCAAGCTGCCATATGATTTGCGTTGGGGATCATTCCCTCCCCTCCTCCCAGGATTCCACACACTGCCACGTCCTTTGCCCAGGAGCCTTTGGGCTGAGCTGTGGAGGAGAGTAGGCCTTATTTGAAGTATTTGTCTTTGGTAATCTTTTTATGTGTCTGACATTTCTTTTCTCGGCTGCTCCCAGGATAAACGGGTGTGTGCGTGCACCTGCCTGCCTCTGACCTGTGTTTCCCGGGTGCACACGCGTGTGGGCAGCAGCATTCTGTGCAAGAGACCCTGACTCAGTGGGAGCGCTGCTTCTATTCGGACCCCTTTGTAGTAGCCCACTCTTACCAGGTCCCCCTGGGTTGATAGAACCCTCTGGAGTCGCTATCTGTCGCCTCACCCCAACGCCTTTCTTTTTGCCTTGTCACAAGATAGTCGCTTACCTCTTGGCTCCTGCATCATTAGTACCTTTTGGCTTTTGTTGTGCCCGACATTCTGCTCCCAGGTATCACAAGTTCAGCCGATCCCTGAGGGGTGGTGATGGTGGTGGTGTTCTTAAATAAGTTGCAAGCGGAAGTGCAGGAATTAGAATCAGAAACAGTGTTTCCCCTGTTAGGATTAGGGGTGGCACGGGAAGAAGGCCCCTGGATTTCATTGCTGGGTTCCGAGGGGGAAAAGGGATGCCTTGAGTGGAACAGGTAATTTGTTAGGAGGAAGGATTCAGTCTCTGATCTAACAGCTACCATATTTTTCCTGGCATCGACAAAACAAGTGTACAGTGAGAGGTTGTCCTGTTCACTTTTTAAAATCCAGACTTCCCTTTGGGGTGACACAGCTCTTGAATGGTGCTCAAATGGTTAGAATACATCTCCCATCAACAGCAGGCAAATGGAAAAGCCAAATCTTATTCGAGGTCCTGGGGATACAGCCTAAGTTTGCTGTGAGGACTCTGCTAAAGAATTTTAAAGACTGCTTATATTAAAAGCTGAAAAGTACAGGTGTGTGTGTGTGTTTCCACCATTTTCAAGTGGTAGGATCAGCTAGCGTTAAGAGCTGCCTTATACCAGCTCAGCCTGTTCGTCAATCTAGCACAGTATCGGCAGCTCTGATTGGCAGCAGCTCTCAGGATCTCCAGCAGAAGATTCTCCCATTAAAGGTGAGGGATTGAATCTGCAACTTGGTACAAGTTGTGCATGTGCTCTGCCACCAAGTTATGGACTGACCCTGAATCATATTCCAAATTCCAGAAACCATTTTGAAATCTTTTGTATTGTAGTGTGTGGATATGGGGCTGGGGGGGGCTATACCCTAATGTCCATAGTGGAAGGGGAAACATTGGATGGGTAGGGGAAGATAGAAGACTCATTTTGCCACCGTTCTGAAAACCTGGACTTTCGTTGAACCCTCTGCTCAGTAGCCCTTCCAGAGAGGAGAAGTATGGAACCTACCTCCTGTGGCAGATTAAGGGTTTCATCAGTGTGGGAGACTGGCAGTTCTCAATCAACCCATGGGGCTTATCCATTAGGAAGTTCTGTGGAGAACTTGCCCAATGGATGGTTCTCCCTATTGGTCAGTGTGGTAGATGGGGTGCAATGTAAATTTTCTACACTGAGACACAATCATGTCCTGGGCCTGACGCTTTTCTTGGAGCTGTCAGCGACATAGGGAAGAGCTGTCGCTTAGCGGTGGAGCAGATTCTGTGCACGCCGAAGGCTGCAAGTCCAATTTCCTTGCGTCTTCAGGTGAAGACAACCCCACACACCCACTTAAAACCCTGACAAGCCACTGCCAATCCGTGTAGATGTTAATGAGCTAGATGAACCCAATGGTCTATGATTCGGAATAAATAAGCTTTCTGTGTTCCTAAATTGTACGTGACACTAGGCAAGGTATCACGTTTAAGTAAGGTGACTGTTTATGTGAAATGAGTACATACGCTTTAAAATCCTTGTAATAGACTGAAGGCTGGCAAAAAAAAGTTACAGGAGCTTTGTATGTCAATCCAGCTTTAGGTTGGAACGTAAACAGTGATCAGCAGTCTAGCACAGAACAGGGTTGTGATAACTTCCTGTTTCTCTTTCCCTTTGCACAGGGCACTGTGATCCGCTAGGCAGTTATCCTGTGGGGCTTGTACAGGAGAGCACAGTGTTTCCATTCATTTCCGTGGAAACTGCACACAAATTCCTGGTGGATTGTGCCTGTCCCATTTTCTCTAGTGAGGCCAGGCCTGTCCAAGCAACAGCTGCAAATGTTACTAGTATTTTCGGGGTGGGGTGGGGGAAAGCACCCTAAAAAACACAACTATTGCACTATTTTAAATAGTTATTTTGCCAAAACTATGAAGAGTTTTGATGGAAAATATATATAAAAATATTTTTTTCTGCTAATATATCACTCTCTGAAAAGTGAAGTCATAGGAGCAACTGATTTTTTTTATTATTATTAAATTTGGGGGAAACGGGAGAACTCAAGGGATATAGATTTAAATGCCTTTTAGGTTTTATTTGGAACAAAAGACACTTTTTATGTGGAAAATACATATTTTGATGAAATATTAATGTTTTGAAAGATGTTCTCTAGCCCTGTGCTACTAATAAAGTGTTGTCTGCAATTTTGCAGGGGAATTAATGGCCAGTGTGTGTTTTTTGGTTAACAATGGCCACTATGGTCAGGGGAGTAAGGTTTGTGAGTGCGTAGGGAGCTTTTACAGTTTTAACAGCGAGTAGATGGAAGAAATCTCTCTGTTTTAGGGAACGGAGAACAAGAACGTAACAACTTGGGGGTTTGATTGCACAGGGATGTAGAGCGGGCTGTCGGTCGCTTCTGTCTTTATTGCCCAATGCTTGGACACTGGAGTAGGGTGGAGCCAGTGAAGTTAATTGCACAAGGAAGGAAATCTCTGGAAAGGGCTAAAATGTAAGGTATTTTATTAAGACCAGCTGATTCCTAGGTTTTTGTTTGTTTGTTTATTTGTTTGTTTGAATCATTAGCAAGGCATCTATGAATTTCAAAAAGTGCTAGAGGCTGATTCAAATAAATGTACTTGTCTTTTATGTGTTGAAAAGGAGACTGGTCATTGTGTCTTCATCCCAGTGTATTTTGCTACCACCTTTAACCTTTTGAACTGGGAGCACAAAGTTAATCTTAACTGATCTGCATAGTGCTTCCTGACTATTCATTTTAAGGCTCTCCCATACTCCCATGCCTCATTACCACTGACGGATGATGATGTAGTGCCTCTGCTGGGGGGACATGCCGCGCTCCTTCTGTCCACTTTGGGTCCTCACCCTTCACTCAGCTCTCACCTGTGGCTCCTAGAAGCTGTCAGCACACTACAGCTTCTTGTATTCAACAAAACACAAAGGTGTGGGAGGATACAATGAACAAACAAATCCAATCTGGCTAGCAATCAGTCTGAAAGGGGACACGGGTATCTACAAGCAGTTGGGGTGCTTCCAGGGTGGATGATGGCATTTACCCAGGAAACCTCCAAAGTAACCAAATCACGTTGCTCCTACAGGTACTCCCTGACACCCTGCTTTCCCTTGCCCCATGCAAGTGAATGGGAGAAGATGCTGTAAAACACACTCAAGGACATAGGAAGCTGCCTTATGCTTGGTCAGACCTGTGGTCCACCTAGCTCAGTATTGACACCGACGACGGCAAACAGCTCTCCAGTGTTTCAGGTAGAGGACGTTCCCAGCCCTACTTGGAGATGCCAGAGATTGAACTGGGAAACATGCTTGCAAAGCAGATGCTCTCCCACAGAGCCATGTCCATCCCTGGCCCTAATGATCTGCAGTGAGGCAGTTATGCCTGCCTTCTCCTTGAGGACGAGTAGCTGAGTCCCTCTCGATTTTTTCCATCCCAGGCAGCTGCCTATCTTCCCAACTGAGCTGGTCCTGGCCCTACTTGCATATGTAGGTGAGAGTGTTGGATCACTCCAAGGAAAGGAGTAACCTATGGGAAGGATCTTGCAAGCTTTGCAACTCCACTTAATAATGCAAAGTGGCAGGTGATGGTAAAACTCACTCTCTCGCTGACCCCTGCTGCCTGGGTTACTTGGACAAATAGTTTGCCCCACGACTGTATAAGGCAGCTTATCTCCCACAGCAATCGGCATCCCAATGCTCCCAAAAAGTAGCGGTGCTGTCAGGGCAGGCCTTTGGAAGCGGAGGTCCATGGCCTCACTCAGCAGAAAGGGGCTAAGCGTAGCAGAGCTGTCTTACTGCATTTTGGAATAAGCAGGATTATGCATGCCATCAAAAGCACCCTCATCTCCAAGACCATTTAAATCCATGGTCTAAAATGACCCAAGTTATACAACTGCAAAACAAACAAGGGCCCATACGTATCACATATCTTGGCTTAATGTAGATTGTGAACCCCTTGTGCCTCCTTTAATTCCGCACTTCACCGATGGGGTGTTCTCCAACTACTGCTGTTTCACGCTTTCTCCTCCCTGAATAGAGAGATTCCCTGTGCTTTGAAAACATAAACGAGAGTGAGCTACATTAGTTGAATCTCCGGATTTCCAATTAGGAACGAAGCAGTAAATCCTCCTCAAAAGATCAACAGATGCAAAAGTGGGATTGTGTATGACTGCCCTGTTAGCATTGTGAACACAAATAATCATGAATGCACTATGAGAAGGGTATATGGAGGGCCCTATTCCCACTCCATCCTGGACACTTTGCTGTTACCTGTTCTGGATTAAGCACAATGCGGCCACCAGAGGGTGCTCGGAAATTGAGTTTTTCAGCTTGGAAAAGGTGAATGTGGCCAAATTGCACCTAGGGTCTTCCCTTGGCTCTAAAATTCAGAAGGGATATTTCCATCCAGTTCCGCTGTTCTGTGCATAGGAGCCAACTTCTAGGGACCAAGGGGGCTTCGGCCCCCCATTAACATATTTGAGTGGGCTGCCCCCCCCCCAGTTGATGGGCATTGCCATTCAAATGGTGTGTGTGCTCGGTGGGCTCAGTTATGTGGTGTAAGGCTTACCTGGTCCCCCCAGTATTTGTATTCAAGTTGGCACCCCTGATTCTGTGTGAGTAAAAAGCCCACATTAAGCCCCATCTGAACCCACTGGAGAGTGTAAAGTATGCCTGCATACTCCGAAAAGAGGTTAGGATGGATTTGCAGGTAGGCCTCCAAATCACGAATCTGTCCCCTTACAAGGAAAAGCCAACTCTGGCCCTTTGGCAGGATTCTACCCATCCATTACCCCTTTGTTCAACAGCTGCGGAACAGAGCAATTCAACAGATGGAAGTTTCCACATCACTGCAGGGGAAAGGCTCGTCTGCTCAACTGTCTCCTGCAGCTGTTTAAGATAGGGGTGGGAACCTGTGGCCCGCCATGTGTTGCTGGACTACAACTCCCACCATTCCTGGCCAAGCTGGCTGGGGCTGATAGGGTTTAAGAGCCCCACAGTCTGGAGGGCCACACCTGATTTAAAGCGCAGGAAATGTGCCCTGGGTGGGGAGTGTTAATCTTCTTTAATCTATTTGCCCAGGAACTTTGGGGGAGGGACATCTCCCAATAAACATAACTTCCCGATCTATTCCCTCGCTCTTCCTTCTCTTGCACAGCATTCATTTTGCTCTCTTATCATTTGAATGCGTCCGTCAGCGTTGCCCAGAAGCAGGGCCATTCACAGCACTGTTTTGAGAGATCTGATTTTGTGCATATAGAAGCTAGAATCAGCCTATGGCTTTATATGGCTCAATTCCCAAACTTAACTCACATTCACACCAGACATTTAAAGCAGTATCATACCACTTTATAACAGTCATGGCTTCCCCCCAAATAGTAGTTTCTTAAGGGTGTGGGCCTACAATTTCCAGTACCCTTACCAACTACAGTTCCCAAGATTCTCCTTGACTGTACAAGAGTGCTTTAAACATATGGTGTGGGTGTGACTTTACTTTTCAACTTTAAGGCTGATCCAGAGAATGTATCTGAAGCAATGAGACAGAGCCCTGGGAAAGCACAGTGCCTTTTCTCTGCACAACGGAACCATAACCTGACCCCATAGGCGTGGGGGTGTGGGGGCTTTTCAGCTCAAAGTCTGTGGCTTTCAGGCTGATCTGAGTCTTGGGACTTCTCCTTTTAGAACTGCCCGTTCCAAAATGCCTCTTAAGCTGACTGTGTTCTGCTTTGGTTTAGGAGAAATAGGAACGATTGTGTATCTGCGTGTGTGTTTAAAAGATGAAGCACAAGGAAGCGGGATTATCTCTTTTGCTTTGTGGCTACGAATGAATCTCCTTTAATCCCCATTAAGAGATTTGTGTGTGTGATTGGAGGCCGACTTTCCGTTTTGATTTTCTTTTTTAAAAAAAATATTTTGCAGTATAACTTTGGTTCCTGGCAAAGCCTATTTGAATATGGAGTCACTTCCATGGCTGGCTGGGACCAGCTGGTTTCCGTGGACACATGCAAGGCTTCAAGCGAAGAGGCTAGGCCTTCCTGTGGAGGGAACCTACTGTGGGGACAGCTGCTGCCCAGAGATGGGGAGGACGGGGGCTGCTAGCATTTGGAGCTGAATGCTGGAAGAAGCTGAACCAAGGCAGACTCCCCAGTGAAGGAGCACAGTTTCCCTTGTTACAATCACATGGAAGCTCTGCATTTAAGAAAACCAGAAAGCTAAAACTCACTACAGGAAATACACACATTGATGGGAAAGATCCCTGAGGTGGAGATGATCTTGCATCTCAAGAGAAGAGAGAGCCAAAGTAAGCCTGCTCTCAAGAGAGGAATGAAGGAATAGGAGGGAAGCAGGAAGTGAGGAAGCAAACCTGAGAGTATTAATCTAACACTGAATTAAGGGCCATGCAGGTAAGCACAAGAAGGGCAGTCTAGGAAGCTTGAAGGTCAGCCTACAGTGCAATCTGAGTTGCGCAAGGACAGCATCCAGTGTTTTAGCTGTTTTCTTCCACTTGTCAGCTTCTTCCCTGGCCAAGGTTTCAACTTCTTCCCATGGTGTTGGTTTGGGAATGTCATCTTCCCTTGCAAGGTGATGCTGGCATGCTTCTGGGCAGGTTGAGCATCCTAGTGCAAGCTCTGCTGCCCCTTCCGGCTGTGCATCTTCCTCTGGAACTGCACCCACCTCACCTCTCAGCATTGCCACAGCCTTTGTTGCCCTCCATGCTGCAAACCAACACATCTGGTTCACCTTCTTTGATAGCCTCTTGCTGAAGGGCGTTCCTTCCAGTTGGTGTGAGCTCTCACTGATTTTCTCCATCTTGGAGTGGAGAACTCAGTATCCCATTGTGTTTTTTGTGTGTGGAGTATCCTGCTAGCGTTCCTCCTAATGCAGAAACATCAACCTATAGTGGAAGCTGAGTTGCATCCTGACACTTCCAACAGGGGCAACCACAGTGCAGCCAGGAATCCTAGATCTGAAAGTGCCTCTCCGTCTAGGTGGGCAGACTTCAGACTTCTCAGATCTAATCTGGAATCTTGCTGTTTTACAAGAACCTCAAAAATCTACCAAGCAGAGCAAAGGGCAAAAGACATATAGGCTGCATACACTCCATACATTTAAAGCGCATTATTATCCACAGGGAATCTTAGGGTCCATAGGTTGCTAAGAATTGTAGCGCTCAGTTGAGTTCTCCATAAATCCCTCTGCAAGGGTCTGTATACTTGTATAAAAATCTCTCAAATGGTAGATCTTGAATTGTTTAAAGGCTGCACTATCAAATTGCCTATCTGCGCTGAAAAAGTCTGGGTGGGGCTGCAGGGGTATGAGTGGGGCGAGACCTGGCATCACACTTCCTTTATGCCTCTTCCATACCTGGAGGGCTGCCAGCAGTGAAGTATGAGACCACTTTAAATTATCCTTGATATAGGAAAATTGGGGGTGGTTGGCTTTTGCTGCCCAACTCCCCAAGGGACTGAGTCCCCTAAGTCCATGATCGGTCAGAGATGAATGGATGGAGGCATGGTGCAATGAAAGCAAGGCAGATCTTTATTATTCTGTTGCAAGGAGGCAAGAGAGACCCAGAACCAAGAAGAAGCATCTCTTTTAAGGGTTTGCATTTTGGTGTGCAGAAGAAGGAGGACATCCCCTTTACAAACATCACACATAAGATGGGGTTACTGCGGCTCTGGCAGACCGAGGTGTGATATTCCTGAGGATTTAGTAAGTTTTACATAGTTCCAGACACAGTTTACACAAAACATTAGCATTTGATAAGACAATCAGGATGCCCTGTCAGACATTCCTCAATGCTGAGAATTTGGGCAAACAATGACAATTAATACAAAGGAGGTTCATAGATAGAGGAGAGGAATCTTTTCAGGTACTTCCCCTGATTGGTATCTGCCTGCCTGTTCTCAGCCAAGGGGGATTAAGGAAGCAGAGGAAATATTTAGAGTCTTCTGGGAGAGCCAAGATGGCTTTTGGATTGCTCTCCTGTACTATTTTAGACATGTGGTTTATATGCTTATGTATGTGTGTTTACCTTGTGCAATTATCAACATTTATTCTATATTTGAGACCTTAGAATACCTGTAACATCCTCAACATATTTTTGACGTACGGTAATGCAGCCATTTTGTGACTGGTGCCTTTGGCACTCTCAAAATTCAAAAGGTACCTACTAGTCCGAAAAGGCTGACAGCTCCTGTTTTTGTTTGGAGGACAGATAAATTTGCTGCTCATTTGGGTACACGGGGTTAGGACTGCAGCCTTAGTCTCTAAATCCATATTCAATACCTGAGAAGCATGGGAAAAACAACAACAACTACTACTACTACTACTTCTTTAAGATTAG